AAGTCCTGCCCAGCCCCGAAGCCCTAGGACTTAAGGCCGTGTGGACTAAGCACTTTGTAAGGACCTTGGTCCAGGTGGCGACTGCCCCGTGTCATGGTCGAGGGCATCGAGGCTCTGGGCCCCCCCGCCCAGGACCAGGGTGCGGTCTTGGCTCCGGGCAGTCTGTGGGCCTCTGCCCGCAGCTCCTCTGTCCTACGGACTAGTCAGGGGGAAGCAGAGGGTCGGAGCCAGGTCTTCCAGAAGGCTCTTAAAGCTGAGTGGGGTCGCTAACCCTGATGCCCGGTGCTCGGCGGCAGGGCTGGCTGTGCGGGTGCCTGGGTAGGCCCAGCCCTGGGTGTCCTGGTGGCCAGGGCTGCCCTGTCCTGCCTGGCATAGCTGTGCCCACACGTGAGCTGCCCCCTCTGAGCCCCCGGAGTGTGGGGGGGTCTGCATTGCGTGACCGCCAACCCGGCCCAGCTGCTGGCTTCACGCATCACAGGGGGTGTCCTTGCTGACCTCTGCCTGCCTGACGGCTTCTTCCCACGCACAGAGGCAGTAATGAGACTTCAATCTGAACCATCAGGAAACCGTGAGACAAGCCCATCGCTGCCAGGCAGGCCTCTGTGCTGCATCGATGCACCCTGGACCTTGGAGCCCAATGGGCCGGTGGTGGGGGTTCCTGTGGTGGCGGCCCCGTGACTGGTGTGACTCATGGTCCAGATACAAAGCCCTGGGCTGCCCCCGGGGGCTCGGGGCGCAGCTGACCCGCGACAAGTGCCAAAGGCCGTAGGCACGAGGAAGCGTGGACTCCCGGGCCGGCTCAGCGCGATCCCGACCGCAGACAGAGCCAAGGCTGCACACTGGCTGGGCCCGAAACCACCAGGCCCAGCTTGCTGGGGTTCGGGGGTGCCAGGCAGAGGCTGCAGACGGAGGTCCCGCGGCCATGCAGGCCCCTCCCTGTAGCATAGGCCCCGGTTGGTGTCCCGCGTGGCCCTTTGCGGAGACATCCCTTGTCTTAAAGCAAATCCCTTCTCTTGTTGAAAAGGCGTAGCTGCTTCTCTGTGTCCTCCTGTGGGACGCGGGGAGGGGAACCCGGGTAGGTTTGCGTTCGTGCTGTCGATACGAGATCATGGGGTGGGCTCGCGCTTTTTTTTGTACGAGGACGATGGCACCGTTGTTGTACTTGAATGTGGTGTGCACTGAGGCACCTGGGGTCCCAGCAGATCAGTGGGGCGTGCGCAGGGGCGAGGCTGTCCCGGAACAGAGGTTCCCGCCGCGCCGCCGCCGGAGTTCGCAGCCCGGTTTCTGAGACGCGCGCCCTGAGCGCCAGGCCGCCTCCACCTGCTGGATCCGAGACGGGCAGCCTGGGGCTGGCCCCGAGGAGCGAGGCCGGTGGGGGCTGCAGGTGCCCCCCGCCCCCCGTTCCCACTCTCCGCCGCGGGGCCGCCTGGCCCCCTTCCCAGTCCGCGCGGTCCCGCAGGTGAGGACATGTTTTGTCCCCGGCTCCTGTTCCGGGTGGGATTCGGCCGCGCTCACGGGCCCCGATTCAGGAGGTGTGAGTCTTCGGCGTGTCACATCCCTTCCTGCCAATTTTCCAGCCCTTTCAGACTCGGGTGGGGGCTGGGGGGCCTCCAGGCAGGCTGGGGCCTCACCCCCGGGCCCGGCCAATTACTTCATTTTGCTTCAAATGGCCAATTGTGCGAAGCGACAAAGGCCCCGCCACGCTTCCCAGTGGTTCCCAGGCGGGCTTTAGAAGCTCCAGCGAGCGGCGGCTGCGCCCGTCCCACTGCAGGCGGCTGGCACGGTGGCCGGGGCTGCGGGACGGGGCCCAGGACGCGGCGCGGCTCCTGCCAGCGTCGCCTTTGTTCCTCAGATCAGAGCCCAAGTAAATCTTTAGCGCAGCTGCTTCCAAACACGGGAAACCACAGAACAGGACGGAGGTGGAGTAAGATGCGGAGATTTCCACCCGGGCTCCGAGGCCGCGCTCCGCACGCGGGTGAAGCGACCCCCCGGGGTCCACACGCCGGAATGAGCTGTGAATGTGCCTTAGCCACGAGCGGCTCCTGACGGCGGGGGAGCCTCTTCCAGCGCCTGTACCCTGAGCAGACCTTTCCTAAGGGGTCCCGGTGCCCCCCGTGGCTCGGTCCTGCCCCTTGGGGTGCGGCTCTCAATCTGATCAGAATTGTTACCAAAAAAACATGTCAGTTTTATTGAGACAGGAAAAAGTGTAAACATATTTTTGTGACTTTATGAAAGATGAGACACTGGAAATTTTTTTAACAAATGTCTATTTATTAATGTTCGGAACACTGGAATTACAACACGAGAGAAGAGTCTGCAATAAATTAATATTTCTCAATCGGCTTCTGCTGTGCTGCTTCCCTCTCCGCGCCTGCCTCCCGGAGCCAGCAGCACAGGGGCCGTAGACAGCAGGCAGAGGACAGGCCCAGGGAAGGAGCTGTACTGGAACTTTCTATCCGTTCTCCTGACGTGGTCACGGTCGGGATGGGCAGGCCCTGTCTGGGGTTTCCCAAGATCTGGCTCTGGCTCTCACCGCAGGCCCTTCCCTCACCATCAGGGAATGTCGGGGAGGGGTGCGGCCTGGCAGCTGGGTGCCCCTCTGGGAAATGGGGGCAGGGGGACACGTGTCCAACTCCTCAGCCCCAGCCCCTCGGACCTCCCTGGGGTGTCCCGAAGGCCACCTGGGGGTACAGCCTGGACAGGGCCATGGAGAGGCCAGACGGCTGCTGCTGAGTCTGGTGCAGTGTACGACGTGACCTTCCACGGCTGGTGGCCCCGGAGGCATATGGAAGGAGGGTGGTGAGGGGTTCGTGCCCTGCCCCCAGCTCTCCCCAGGGGCCGTGGGTGGCACTGGGCTGGCTGCCCTTCCTCCCTGCGGTTCCAGCTGGTTCTCAAGGTCGGCCCTGTGCGGAGTGGGCTGGGCACTGTGGGGCCTCCCCAGCAGGGCTCATGGCTGACACCCGGCTCCCTCCCGGGCAGGGGGCCCAGCCACCAGTCAGGGAGTCGACACCGAGGCTGAGGCCGGGGAGGCTCTCTACGCCCCGGGGGGGGGGGGGGGGTGCTCGGGCTCTGCCTCCGCTGGCAGCCGGCCCCCCAGCCAGAGTGCCCCCAGGGCCGCCTCCTGTATCTGGATCACGGCCCCGGGGGCCCCAGATGTGACCCGGGATGTGCTGGCCCCTCCCCACCCCTTCTAGCCCCAGAAGCCTCCTGCTGGGGGGAAGACCCAGGCCACTGGCCTGGGAAGCAGGCCACAGGGAGGGGCTGCGGCTCCGGGGCTGGCACCACTCCCTTGTTGGAATGGCGTAGATGGCAGATGCTTTGCTCTGGGCGCGGCCCCCGCACCTGATCATCACCGGGAGAGCCTGTCCACCCCCGCCAGGCCCCACCTGCGGCGAGGCCCACCAGCACAGCCTGGCCCAGGCCGCGGGACTGTGGTACCGGGTCGAGGCCGGCCTCCCTCCCTGGCTGCTCCAAAGCGCGCCACGTCCTGACAGCAGGACCCCCTCGGACAGAGGCCTTAATCAGCCAGCCCTCCCACCCCCCAGTCTGACTTCCCACACCTACCCCTTGTCCCTGCGGCCATATCCAACCCCACGGCCCACCTGGTCTCCCCTTCCCTCCCACCCACCTGTCCCCAAGAGGGATTTTCTGCCCAAAACCTCCAAGCCTCCCTCCTGGTCACAGGGAAGCCCTCCCTCTACTGTAGCGCTCTGGGGCCTGTGACCTGCCTTTGGGGGGGGGGGGGCTTAGGTCACTGGCACCCAGACCCCAGGGCCAGCCCTGTCACCACCGGAGGCCCTGAAGGTGGGGCCCATGAGACAACCTTCCCAGGTGCTCCTCTAGCAACCCTGTTGCTAACTCTGGTCTAGAACATTCTACCCCCAGGTGACAGAGAACCACACTTCCAGCCCCCAGAGGCCCTGAAGCACTAAGAATGTGCTGGGTGTGAGGCTGTGAGAGATGGGAGCCCAAGCTGTCCCAGCACCCAGAGCAGGTGGCTGGGCCCTCGGGGCAAAGTATTAGAAAGCCTGGAGGGGGTGCCAACCACAGCCCGCCCCCACCTTCAGGGCAGGGAGCTGGAGGCAGTGGAGCGCAAGGACTGCCTCCCCTGGAAAGGCCAATTTCCTGCCTGACCCAGGTGACAACCCCTCCCACGGCCTGCCAGCACTGAGGACAAGGGAGAAGCAGAGCCCGGGACTTTGCATACTGCCCCCCCCCCCCCCCCCGCAGGCCAGGCTGCTGCCCAGCAGAGCCCTGTGACCACATACACCCAGGGATGGTCACGCCGGGACTCCATGGCGAGCAAAATACCCTGAAACAGACCAAAGGGCACCGCCCACGCAGCACAGCTGGCTCGAACTTCATTCTCCGAGCGGCTCCTGGCCTGACCTGCGCCCTCACCACAAAGTATACACAAGCACACACACCCAGGCTGTGGTCTGAGCATGTTCCCCAACGGTCATATGGGGAACCCCTAAATCTCCAGGGTGACGGTGTGAAGAGAGGCGGCCTCTGGGACGCACTGAGGTCGCGAGGGTGGAGCCCTGGCCAACGGCACTGTGTTCTTGGAAGAGGCCCCCTAAGACCCTTCGTCCTCCTGGCCGTCTGCGAACCACAGGGGGGGTGTGGCCCACCACGCCAGCACCCCGACCTCGTGCTTCCAGTCTGCACTGCCATGAGAGGCTGTGTGTAAGCTGCCCCACTGGAGGGGACAGAGGCACCCGCTCCGGCCACCAGCCCCCTCCTCACTGGGATGAAGCCCCTCAGTCCTCCTGTTTCCCATGTGACCGCAGCCAGGACACCGGGCACTGTGCAGGGAAGGGGTGGCCTCTGCGCAGCTGCCTGCAGGAGGCCCCGAGGCTGTGCCCCCTTGCGCACCTGCAGTGTCCCACCATCACTCGCCCACTGCCACAGGTGAGGCACTGCGGGAACGGGGGGCTATGTCCCTGCCCGTTGGCGCCTGAGGCCTCCGTCCCTCAGGAGATCCCCGTCAGACTCTGTCCCAGACAACGGTTTTATTGGATGCTGTCCCCGAGGCCGCCTCTGCAGGCCCCCTGTGTGCATGCAGGTTGGAAACCTTCCCTGAGGCATGAAAGAGCAACACTATAAATGGGGCACTTAGGGCCCAACCCTAGCCAGTAAGTCCTTCTGGCCAGAGCACCAACTTGGAGAAGACCGGGTTGGCCTCTCTAGGGCTCTCCCTGGCTCTGGAGGCTTTCTGGAACCTTGGCCAGCCCGGACAGAACTGGGGCGGCAAAGCCAGCCCAGCTTCCCCCAACTCCTCCAGTCCAGGTTCCACAACTCTGCGTCTGACCCCCGGGTGCTCAGCAGCAGCTCGGCCTCCGTCAGAGCGCGGGGCCCAGCCCTGGGCCGCTGCCCGGGCCATTGCTCGGGCTGTCGCTGGGGCCCTCGGTGGCCACTCTGGACTTGCTCTTGCCCTTCTGGAGTACGTAGGCAGACGGCCCCAAGCGCAGGATCTTCCCACTGCCCAGACACTCATCCCCTTTGTAAAAGACGGCAAACTAAAAAGGAAAGAGGCCCAGGTCACAGCAGCGGGGCCCAGCCAGGCCCACCAGCAGCCAGGATGCGGGTCCATAGCTGCTGGGCTGGAGGGGGGCAGGGGGCAGCGGAGGGCAGGCCAAGACGGGGCAGCCAGGCCCTCCCAGTAGCCAAGCAGGACCAGACATCACTGGTGCGGCTGGGAGAGGCAGGCTGGGCACAGAGCTGGCTCGGCTCCCACCCACTCCACCCCTCAGCCCCCCACCCCGTGAACCGGGTGCTCCAGTGGGGAGAAGGGCAGCCATCCCTCCCGGGCACGAAACCCGCTGGCCAGAGCCCTCTCAGCCACATGGGCACTGACGAGGGACAGCCCGAGCAGGTGCTGAAGCCCATCTTGTGTACGAGGCCGGGCTCGCCCCACTCACCTGTCCCAGGGCCAGGGCCCGCACAGCCTTCACAGCTGTCACCCACACCGTGCCGTCTTGATTGAGAGTCAGCACACAGGGCACTGGGTAGAAGGGGGGGGTCCTTGGAAGGGGCACTGGCCTTTCCATGCATGGCCAGTCCCAGGTCTCGCACGCCCAGCCCCCAGGGGTAGGGGGAGCACCAGGCAGCGGGGGCAAGAGCTTCTCCGGGGAGCTAGGGGCAGGGGCCATGGGGGGCTCAGCGCCACCTGCTGCCCGGCCTGCCACACCTGCACCTCTGGAGCTGACCAGGGAGGCCACTCTGGGCCTCAGAGCCGCCCGGTGCAGGCTCCTCGGGAAGGCAGGTGAAGAGGGGGTTCTGAATATGTTATGCAATCCAAGCCAGGGAGACATTCCGCCCCAAGTCCAATGATGCTCCTACACTGGGGCTCCTCTGAAGGGACCCTCCCGCTCAGTCACCTAGCGCCATCTGGTGGCGGAACCGGAAGTGGCACTCCATCATTTTGTCCCGGACCAGGGCGGCAGGCGGCTCCTCCGCGATCCAGTGCACGCGGTTGGTCCGCAGCAGGTCCCTGTAGAGAGCCGGGTGGTCTGTCCGGGGGGCCTGCGGAGCGGATCACGCGGGTCAGGACCCCGAAGCCCCCGGCAGAAGGGCCCCCACCTCGAGCCGGCCACCGTGCTTCGTCGGTAGCAACCCTAACAGCATGCTCACTGCTGACTGCAGTGTCTGCCACAGAAATGCGACGGCCCATCCCCCAGCGTTCTGGTCCCCACTCTGCACAGGAAGGAAAGTGTCTGTCACAGTCAGCACTCTGCCCGCGAGCTCCAGGCTCAAGTCTCCCCACCTGCCGGGCATGGGCCCACCATGCAGCTGGCCTGTCTCAGAAAGGTCACCGCAAGAAGCCCATCAAACACCGAGTGGCTGGGGAGGAAGGGACAGGGTCGGCTCCCAGGGGGCTGTGCTGAGGCCATCTGCCTCTGAGGCTCCTGTCCCCAGGCCCCAGCCAGGGATTACCCACATGCGGACAAACGTCAGTTGATGACATATTGGTCTCAGAGCTAAAGAGACCACTGAAATTTTACACTAAAATCACTTTAATTCATGCATGAGCACCACCCCTGTTATGCCTACAGCTCTTCTTGGAAGGACATGCCCCAGAATCAGCAGGCCGGGTCTGCTGGCCTCACTGCCTGTGTCTAAGACAAGGTCCTTCAGCTTTGTGACAGAGCACGGGATGGCACCCAGCTCTCTTAAGGCAGGGCCTCTCACCCTTGGTATGACGGGTCTGAGACCACATCACTCTGTCAGGGAGTAGGGGCTCTCCTCTCCTGTGGGATGTCAGCAGCACCCCTGGCCTCCACCCATCAGATACTGCAGGGACACCGCCAAGTGTCCCGGTGTACAGAGCAAACTCCCCGCCCCTTGGCAAAGCCCTGCTCTAGAGCCCAGGGATGGTGTCCTAGGTCACAGTGGTTCAGGGCCCCACGGGAGCACACAAACCAGTTTGGCCCTGGCTCGGCCACTTCCAACTGTTCAGCAATGACTTGCAGGAGCCAATGATGTGCAAGCTCCGTCCCAAGCACTACAGGGCCTCTTTTGTAAAGTCAGAAAAATAATCCGTATTCCCAGCAATTAACATCACGATTACTAGTGTGGCCAACATACAGTAAGACCCTGATAAGTACCTTCAACAAAATCCTTCTGGTACCTTGGGCCAATCCCAGGAGGACGCAGAGGAAAGGCAAGGATGGTCCATCAATCACTGCTGCTCTGTAGGACTTCACCAGCCCTGCCTGGTCTCACAAACACTGCTGGTTCTGCCAAAAACAGACCTCCGTCACCTGCCTAAAAGGCGAGCCCAACTCACCACAAACACGTCGCCCTTGGTGCCGTCCTTCTCCACCACATACCAGGGCTCGCGGAGACCACCTATCTTGGCTCTCTGGCCCAAAGTATACAGGAACCAACCTACGGGAATACAGTGTCTCAGTGGGTTGGCACCAGCTCCATCTCAAACACCACACCCCTCTTAACGGGGAGGAGAGGATGAGGGGCAGCAGTCGGGAGGTTCTGCCGACCACTGAGAGGTAGCCCGGAGGGGCTGTGTTCTCCTGCCGTGAGCATTAGTCCTGGCCAAGCCAATGAGCTCCTCCCATCCCTTGTTCAGGCCAGGTGAGGCTGTCCCCCGCAACCCGAAAGGAGCAATTCCAGCTGCCAGACCACCTAAACCAGGAGCAGCACAGTTCCTTTAGAACGTGGACTGGGCATTGCTCGAACCCATGAGCCCCTGCCTGCTGAGTGTCCACTACTGGCCCCTCCAACATATGAACCACACTGGGGCCGTGGCATCGGGCTGCCCCCGCTTCTCTGCACATCCCCATCCCCGCAACAAATATCACAAGACCAGATGGCTAAGTCCTGCCCTCCCTAATGGCATTAGTACAGACAGGAACAACCTGAGGGATCACAGTGCCCTGAGCCAGACTGCCGGAGGTGTTGGGAGCAGCCAGCAGGCCTGTCCCCAGCAAGGCTGTCACCTCCTCTGTCTCAGGAACACATGGCTTCTCCGCTTGGCTCCCCAGGAGCCCATGACATCTCGGCCCAGCTCCCTCAACAGGACAGAGGAGCCATCTGCCCGAACCAGGTGGGGGATTCCAAAGAACCACTTGTGGCCCTGTCCGTGTGTGAGTACCAGCCCCTGTCCCTCCAGCAGGCCAGACACAATCTGGGTCAAGCCCTACCTGGTCCCCAGTCCCTGAGGATGCCCCGAGGGCACAGACCCACCACCAGGATCCCCACACCTGCCCTCCCGCCAGGCTGTGAACGCCGGAGCCTGACTTGTCTATCGGAGCCTTCATACACCAACCCAGTGCAAACTCACAGTGCTCCCAAAATTGTCTGTGCATGAGCCAGCAGCACCCCAAGGGCAACAACCCTGCCTTATGGGGAAACTCTCTGATCCGTTTCTTTGTCCTAGAGCTGGAAATTCACACTCTGAATTCAATCAAATGAGCTTCTCTCATCAGGGTGGACTTTTCTGTTCTAATATTTTCTTTTTACACGGAAGATAATTCTATTTACAGGGACACAACACATCACTCAGAGAGCAGCGTCTTTCTGAAGTGGAAGGCATCCCTCTTTGTTAGCTGCAATGCTTCACAGAGACCACACATAACACTCGCAGCCAGCCGCCCCCACATTCCCTCATGTCCCTGTGCCCCGGTGCACGGGCGGGTTCAGAGCTGACACTTGCCCCACGACTCAGGGAGCTTATGACGAGAAACATCCTGAGGTTGTGTCTCACCTTTGTGTGTTCCCAGAACTTTATTGTCTTCAATGGAAATAAATTTACCAGGTCGAGGCTGTAGATACTAAAAGACAAGCATGTCCTTACTAAGGGATCCAGGTCCAGAGCAGAAACGTGGCTCCATTCTTTTGCATCAAAGAATACTTACCTGAAGAATGAAATTTTCAAAATTTCTTTTACCAACGAAACAGATGCCCATGCTCTGAAACAAAAGGAAAATCGACTGTGAGGTGAAGAAAGAAGCAAGAGGTTCCTGCATAAAAACTAGCACCCAGGCCTCCCCAGGCCTCGCCACCTGCCCTGAGCCTCCCGGGCTGCAGGCCTGGCTTTCCTCAGCCAGCACCCACAGACATCAGCCATGCCTACAAATGGACCTCAAGGGGTTTCAGAACATCTCAAACTCCCAGGGGCTACTTAAGGCCCCCAAGCCTGGACCTGGTGAGTGAGCTAGCAGGGTGACAGCATGGCCACCTCGGCTGGGTGTGGTCCTTGCACTGAGGACCGTCAGCCCAGCTGGCCCAGGAGAGTGCGCTGCAGCTGTGCAAGCCCTTCGGACCACTGTTCGTGAGCCACGGAGGAGACGGGAGCCAGTCGGGCCAGAAGCCAAAGCATCCATAGGAAGGTCCGAGGAAAGAGAGGGCTCCCTCCAGTGATCTCCTCTAGCCCAGAAGACGAGCAGGAACGTGTGCTCCTGTCACATGGCTCTCTCACCTGCTCTCTGCTTGTGTCTGAGACGTGGCTCCCTCACCTCCCACCACAGAGCCACACCCAGAAACTGAACAGGTAAACAGAGGAACAGAGATGACGGGTAAATGGATGCATGGAAGGAGATCTTCCTTGGGGACAATGACTTGCTGATGAAAAGCACGTGCTCATTCCCAGGAAGACAAAAACAAAGCAGCAGCCTCAGCTAATGGTGACCCAACCCGAGGTGGCCCGACCAGACCGAGCACACCAGGACCATCTCCTAGTACTAGACGTCTGCCACACTGGCTTCACTGTCGTTCCAATGCCCAGGCTCTCCTTGCCTCTGGGCCTTTGCACACGCTCTTCCCACTATCAGAACTATCTCCCCACGATCCTCTCGGTGACACTAAATCTTATCATCCCGAGGTCTCAGGTTGAATTAAATGTTAATTCCTCGGAGCCTGTCTTAGGGTCTAGGCTGATCTAGTTAGAGTTCACTGGCGTCTCCTACACATGTTCTAATTTCCCCATGACATGTTTCATGTCTGTCTCCCTTTCCTGTGAGCTCCATTAAGGCAGGACCGAGGGAACCATGTGCTCCTCACCCTATCCTCAGGGGCCAGCACAGCCCCCAGTACAGGAAGGCCCTGGAAGAGGAGAGGCTGGATGAGTGCGTGAAAATGGCAGATCTGCGTGCGAGTAGTGACAGAGCCCGAGATCAGGGCGTCCTGGGGCCCGGTCCCCAATGCCCTGCCTTCCCCTGGCAGGCTGGGCCAAGAGCACTCCAATGAGCCAGCCAGACTGCTGTGAAAGCTGCCCACCCAGAGTGGGGCCAGGGAGACGGAAGGGAGAAGTTGAGTGCACCTCCTACGGCGCATGTGCCCCGGGGTGTGACCTGATGTTGTATCCTGGGGAGGAAGCACCCAGCCAGGGCACCCTGCGTCTCCACAGACTGTGGCCACGCGCGGCAAGTGTACCTCACTTTGGTCCTACCTCCTTCTTTTGAAGCACGTGATGGAGTCTATTCTCAGCAGCTATTTTCTTGACAAAATCTTTCGTTAGCCCCCCCAGAGGGAAGAGGGTTCTCCGCAGAGCATCTTGGGAAACCTGGCTGAGAAAGAAGGTCTGGTCTTTAAAGCTGTCAGCTGCTTGAAGAAGTTTTACCGCTGCCAAGAGTAAAGAACAGAAGACGTTGCGGGAATAAACATAACGGCACTTGGCTCTGAATCACGTCTTTCCATTAGATTACCCCCGGTCTGTCAGAAGCAGAAATCAATACTTAAAAGCAGACCGCCAGGAAAACAAACAACACCCATGCTTGAGGGGAGAAAAGGTCCCACCCCGAATTGATCGGCCATTAAGAATAATTTTACGTGATTGGGAAATTTATTCTAGTTCTCACCCGGGTTACGGTATCTCACTGATCAAACAGTGCACAGCCCTGCGCGTAGAGGTGATGTGACACAGGCCTGAGACACACACAGCCAGGCGGGAGAAAGCAGGACGAGAGGACCCCCAGAGAACCCCAGGAAGGGGACGGAGGGGGGTCAGCGTGCTGCTCCCCACGCCCCCCCACCGCCCCAGGCCCAGCTCCAGTCTCAGCGCCTCTGAGCCGTTTCCTTTCCCAAGCAAGCGGGTTCTGTTCAGAGGCACGTGGACATCCGCCAGAAGCTCCTCCACGACCTCTGGACCCCCTGCACCATACAGAACTGCCTCTGGCTAAGGCCACAGCGCAGAGGTGTCCCTGACCTTGAGCCCGTGACACCATCAGAGGAGGCCCGGCACCACCGCTGGGCCACATAGGACCTGCCTGGCCTGTGCGAGGACTGCCACGATGCAAGCACCAGGCTGCTCACGCTCGCTCACACACTCACGCTACACGAAAGGAAAAGCAGGGAAAGCTACACGAATTCTCAGGACCAGATGCAATGCTGGGAGAGGCCGCTGCACATCACCCTTGGGGCACTACACATGTGCCTGTCGGCCTGGCACGGTCACGGGGAGAACACAGGCTCTGTGGAGGGCACATTCTCCACCTGGGACCTCAAATGTGATTCTCACTTTAGCCATGGGCGGTTCGATTATCCCCATTTTACAGACGAGGACACTAAGGTTGAGATCAGTGAGGAGGCTCAACAGAACGGTGCACCTGCGGCCTAAGTCCTGGTCCAAAACATGCTATGTGCAGAGCAACACGAGCAGTCAAAATATGACAACCAGCCAGCCAGTCACCGGCAGGCAGACTCGTCTACCCAGGGCTGCTTTTTGTTTCAGAAGGAAGCCTGGTCAGGCTGCACGGAGGCCTCGGGACACCCGGAGCCGCTGGGTTCTCCTCACGGTTCCCAGTCATTTAAAACAGCCTCCAAATCTATTTTTTTAAAAGGAGGCCAGCAATCCTAAACACAGAAAGAAACACAGGAGGATGTGCCAGTGCCAAGGACTCCATTCACGCACCCTTGCAATCCATCTGCGGTCAGGCCAGTGCTGTGCCCACTTTGCGCAGTGAGGCCTCATCCTCGCCAGGCCTGGGCCCAGGAGCGTTGGCTCTGGGGGCCAACCAACCCAGGCCGGGCTCTCTGCTGCCCCGTGTGCTCAGCCCCCGTGTGCACTCTGCCCCAGGACCCGGACCCAGGCGCAGACCAAGAGACTCCAGTCCAGGTCTCCAGGGCAACTAAGAATTAAATAAAAAGCTCCAATGTGCCTAGAAAACACGCTGAGGACAAAGACACGCTTGTGTTATTACAACAACGCCACATTAAAATTACTCAACAAAACACACGTCAAAGCAATCAGAGAAGTTTCAGAGCGCCCAAGGCCTCACATAAAGGTCCAGACAGGTCTGGAAGGCAAACCATTTTCTAGGAGATAAGCAAAAATGTCTATTCAATATGGAAATAATTCCTTTGGCTACTCAGGACCCTTAAGTCCATGTTTACTTGGTGAATTGTGCTGTGGAGTTCCCAAGCAGCAGGCCTTTGCGTTCTTCCCGACAGAGACGCTTCTGGGGAGAGTGGTGCCTGGGGGTGTGAAAGGTGACCTCTGGAGTAACGGAGAGGGGGCGCAGAGGAAACCTGTCCTCTCTCTTGTCTAGATTGGAGGCCCTGGCAGCAGGCACAGTGGCTACAGGTAGCAGAGGGAGACCCTCCCAACAAGGGAGGGAGTGCTATCCCTGTCTGCGTTCAAGTCGGGAAGGTCATATGCACACCCTCTGCTGTGAATGGGGGAGGGATTAGGACAAAACCAGGGCAGCCAAGCACCCGCCAGCCCCCTCAGGGCTCACACAACACAGCAGACTACCACATGATCGCTGCGGCCTTCCTACCAGCTCGGTGCCACGCAGGACAGAATGGGCCCGGGGCCGGGCACACAGAAAGAGCACAACTGTAGAGCTGGATGGACCTATGGACCTAGGCAGAGATCCAGCTCTGCTGCCCAAGGCCCCCCGGTCAATGGCTCCCTGCCTCGGTCCCCTCACCTGCCAGCTAGACAAGCAAACCCAGCTCTGCTCTCAGAGGGGCCAAGTGTCTGGGCTTTGGGGAAAGAGGGCAGGTGCTGCAAGGCAGGCAGGCAGTAGGCCACACTGAAAATGCCAGCCCTTCAGCAATCCCACAACGAAGGAATCTTCTTGCTCAAGCGTGGCTCTGAGCCCCTGTTCTGTCTCTCCCTTTGCAATGACATGAATTCCTCTTTTCTACACATGAGTGTACACCAAGACCAGCCAACAGCATCCCTGATGACAGCTGGGCATTCTTCTAAAAAGGTGAAACCTGGCTCCCTCCAATGATAATAAACCCGATTTGTGTACACAATCTCTGCAAACACATCTTCCACCAGGCCTGAATGTCAGGCAGGCCCCAGCACCTGGGTCACACTGAGATACGCGCACTTAGTATTGAGCCCTCGAAAACCTGATGGTAAGTGACAGGACCTCTGAGTCCTCCAACAATCAACACGTACTTCCTCAAATATCATGGGAATCTTCGAGCCACCAACAGGGTGAAAAGGCCTGGGTAATAAACCACAGATGCAGGTTCCAGCCAGGCCTCAGCCAGGCGTCCAACCAGCACTTCCCCTGGTGCCCGGCCCCAGGCTCCACGGGGAGATGGCCCTCCTGGTAACTGTGCTTTTCGAAACCAGCAAGCTGGTCTGGAACACATCAAGACCCAGCAGGTGTGCTGGGATGATGACCCACTGCCACACTTCAAAGTTAAGTTCCTCTGTGCACTAAGGTCTGACCCGGGCACGTTCACTTACCATTTCTAACTTCAAATCGATTTCTGAAAAGCCCTTCTGGCCTCCTAATGTGCTTCTGCTGAAAGACTTCCTCATCTTCCAGTGAGGTTCTGGCATAGTGACCTGTGGCGACAGCATCTGCTCCTGGGAAGTTTTTAAAAACGCAAGATCAAACTTGAGACTCGCATTTGCTGGCCGTGGCCACCTCGGGCTCGGGTGTCTCAGGAACGTGCAGACCCCAAGCTTTGAGCTGGATGGTCTCCACCGATGGTCCACCTCCCACTCAAACAGGGGAGCCAGAGCGCAGAGACCACCCTGCCCCGGACATTCTGGTCTACAAGTGGCCTTGAACTCTCCACTTACATGGATACAACCTTGCTACAAGGTTTCACTCCAACTATACCAACCTTTCAAAAGTTAGTATCTATCCGCTCCTTGACTCTAGCTTAGAAACACAGATAATGCACACAAAGACTTGGAAAATGAAAACACCAAAACGTTCAACTCCAGGAGAATATGAAGTTAAAATGCCATTGCCATTAAGAACAGCATCACTTATGAGGATAAATTTTTCATGACATTGTTAAGTAGGGAAAAAGTACATAATACTATGATCCCATTTTATTTAACGTACAGAAAAAGGTTAAGAATAGGGAAAAGCCCATTCCTTTGATTCTGGGAATTGAAATGATAGACGCGTCTCCCTATTTTCACTCTGTGGTAGTTTTAATTTTCACCGCAGTGAAGAACCATACAGCATATTCCATTTCTTCTCGCCACATTAAACAAAAAAGCGAAATAACCTACCAAGGCACATATCAGTTCATAATCTTTTTTGTGAACATTCCAGATATTCAGTATCACAAAAGACTTTTTTAGGGAGGGGCAGCAAACTGAGTCCCTGCCTCTCCGACTAGACCAGCTCAGAGTAAGACAAAAGAAGCAATGAGAATTAACCGTTGAGGGCGCCTGGCCAGCTCAGTCAGAGGAGGGTGCAGGTCCTGATCTCAGGGGTCATGAGTTCGAGCCCCATGCTGGACACAGAGGCTTACTTAAAAAAATAAGTAAATAAACATTTTACTTATTAAAAAAAGGGGGGGGCAGCCCCGGTGGCGCAGTGGTTTAGCGTCGCCTGCAGCCCAGGGCGTGATCCTGGAGACCCTGGATCAAGTCCGTCAGGCTCTCTGCATGGAGCCTGCTTATCCCTCTGCCTGTGACACTCTCTCTCTCTCTCTCTCTCTCTCTCTCTACGAATAAATAAATAAAATCTTTAAAAAATAAAAAAAATAAATAAAAAGCTTAAAAAAAAGGAAGTTCTAGTAATACTGGTCTGACGTGGAAGCCATCAGCTACAGCTAGAACAAGCAGAAACCACCTCTGCACAGGACTGGGCTCTCCAGTTTGCCATCCTGCATTCCCTGCCCTGAGGCAAATTCTTAGTGATAGAGTTAAAAAAAAGAAAAATTAACTGTTGTATATGGACTACCTGAGAAAGCACATTTGGGACCTCACTGAATCTACTTCCTTCAAGAACAACTACTTACATGAACCTGTCACCCCCTTCCCGAAAAAACGAGATAACACAAGCTCCCTGACATGGCCCACCAGGGCAGACACCTGTGTTTCCTGACACCCCCAACCATCAGGGGACACCAGACTGTAGGCAGCTGAAGCCCCAGACCCGCTCCTCATCTCAGATAAGGATGGATTATTGAACCTAGTCAGCAAACTCAGAATCACCTCTAACTCATGTTCAGTTCTGCTATTAAGTCATTCAAATGCATCCAGACTTCTGGAGCCTTTGTTGTGCAGGTTTCACTGTGGCCTGTGAAGCAGGGTCTTGTCACCTCTTTAGCTGCAGGACCCTGTGTGTTGGGTCTGCAAGCCTGCTGTGGGCCTGCCTAGGCCACGGTGGCTGACAGGACACTACTGCACCACTGGCAATGGACAGTCACATTAATACCTCTGGGCACGTGGCCAGACACGGCAGGGTGAGCCGCACGGGACAGAAGCCAACAGAAAGGCCAGAATCCAGAATCTTGGAGACGGCAGGGTACAGAAGTCAGCTTGCAGGCTTTATGGCAGCGCAGCAGTAGACACCACAGGCAGCCCAAGCGAGCAAGGTGGCCACACAAAGGAACAAGGATGCCCCTATGGGCAGATGGAGAAGAGGAAGGAGAACCATCAGAACAAAGTCTGCAGGCCAGTTGTCTGCGGGTAGCAGGGCCTCAATAGGCTTTCCGAATAGACCACTAAGGGATGCCTGGGTGGTTTAGGTCATGACCCCGGGGTCCTGGGATCCAGCCCCTCATCGGGCTTCCTGCTCAGTGGGGAGTCTACATCTCCCTCCCTCTCCCTCTGCCCCCCAAACTCATGCTCTCTCTCTCACTCTGCTCTGTCAAATAAATATAATCTTAAAAAACAAAGCAAAACACTAAAATGTGGCTTCAAATCCAGGGAAAGAGAGGCCCAGAATCCAGAATAAGACACAGACACAGACTTCTTCTCAGGACAGAGCAGAAAGCCACCCTGGGATACAAGATAAGAAGTCTCAGGAGGACTAGCCAAAAGGAGGACTACTAGCAAGAAACAAACGCCGACTTTCCTGAGCTCTAAATAGGGCTCGTGAAATCTCCGCTAAGTATAACCATGCCGGAAATGGAGCTGCTCGAGCAAAGCTGGACCTGCAGGCAAGGTCCGGTGGCCCCAATCTTCGGCTCTCTGCCCGTGACCCCTGCGTTTCCTCAGGACGTTTGGTGCTCTGAACCTACAACACGGTCCCCACACCTGTGAGGTCCACGATGAAGACACACTCCCTCCTCCCTGTGACCCTGTCATTTGCATATTGCCAGAAAGTTCTTTCTTACTCAAAGAAATACAGATTATGGTTTTCACTACTTCCTTTCCTTCTGAAGATCAAACTATTTACCAGAACTTGGCTCCTGGCTATCTCTGAAAACCTTATGATTTTAAAAAGATTAAATGGAAATAGCAGAACAACTTACCAAGATTATCCACGGCATAATGGAAAAAACAACTGAATTTGATGTGCTTGTTGCAGACTATGTCAGGATTGGGAGTCCTTCCTTTTTCATATTCACTTAAAAAATCACTGGAATAGAAAAAAAGATTTTCATTTCTAAGTGTGAAACACTCCTCAAAAAAAATAAATCTGTAGGGGCACCTGGGCGGCTCAGTCAGTTGAATGCCCAGCTCTTGATTCTAGCTCAGGTCATGATCTGAGAGTCGTAGGATGGAGCCCCACATCAGGCTCAGCAGTGGAACACAGTCTGGCTGGGATGCTCTCTCTCCCTCTGCCCCTTCCCCTACCCCATGTGAGCTCACGCTTTTTTTAAAAAAAATGTTTTATTTATTTATTTGTTCATGAGAGACACACACAGAGAGAGAGACAGAGAGAAAGGGGGAGAGAGAGAGGCAGAGACACAGGCAGAGGGAGAAGTAGGCTCCATGCAGGGAGCCCGATGCAGGACTCGATCCTGGGACTCCAGAATCACGCCCTGGGCCAAAGGCAGGCACTAAAACGCTGAGCCACCCGGGGATCCCCATCAAACAAATGAAATCTTTAAAACTATATTGGTTAAATTACTTAGTTTCTACTTGTCTTACCAAAGCTATAATTTTCTGTAAAATAGGAGAGCTTCAAGAGACAGCCACTGTCAGTGTTTTCATCAAGCATTTGTGTAAAGCCAGCCACTTTCCACCAAAATCTATAATAATGTACAGACCTGGATATAAAGCTCACCTGCCACGCAGACTCAGCAACCATTCCGTCTCCCCAGAGGCTCACAGGATGTGTAGGGAGGGGATGGGACTGACTCACTCAACTCCAGCCTCCCCTGACTTCATCAATAGAGGAAGGCGTGGGTGAAGAGCATGCTGGAGTGAGAGCAGGAATATAATGACCCAGAGCTGCAATTTGGGGCTGTATTAGCCATTCCACATTCCTGGCCTAGGGACCCAGGGCAGTGGGCAAATAAATGCCAGCAAATACTTCTCCAATGTGACTGACATACCTCTGAGGACCAGCTTCCAGGACACCAAGCATCCTAGTGTACTGGACCCCTGCTCTAACAGGCTGAACGACTAGACATGGGAGGAGGATGGCTCGGCAGCAAGTTCATAGTCTCAGACTCCACTTTAGGAGGATTATGGTGTCTGTTCCAGGAGTTTAAAGTGAGTATTAACGGGTGAGGGGTGCCCAGCTGGCTCAGTTGGAGGAGCATGCAACTCTCAATCTTAGGGTCAGGGGTTTAAGCTTCGCATTGGGTGTACAGATCACTTATATTTTTTAAAAAGATTTTATTTATTTATGAGAGAGAGAGAGAAAAAGAGAGAGGCAGAGACACAGGCAGAGGGAGAAGCAGGCTCCATACAGGGAGCCTGATGTGGGACTCGCTCCCGGGCGCCCAGGATCATGCCCTGGACCGAAGGCAGGTGCTAAACCACTGAGCCACCCAGGGATCCCAAAATAAAATCTTTTAAAAAGCAAAAGTTAAAGGATGTATTTTGAGTATCTGTGATCATTTTTCATTGAACCTAAAGCTTTTTGCTCTACAATGGTTACAAACAACAATGCTGATGCTGACCGAGAGGGTGAATGTACACGGAGTCATAGGCCACATGTGCAGCTTCAACTCCAGCAGGCAATGCCAAACTGTGTTCTCTCAATCCTCTCAGAAAGGGAGAAAACTTGTATGGCTCCTTATTTCAATTGTTTAACTGTCAGAAAGTTGTCAAGAGGTTCATGAGAATCCAGGCTTTACTCTCGCTGTGTGTTCACAGCCACCAGAACATTTTCTAAGAAGTGCTGAATGAACGTGAAAGAGGCTGAACGTTTCCTCTGGCTGATGAAAATCATGTTAACCATTTCCCAAACTGCTTCACGGAAGACAGGTCAGTGGCATCAGTAAAAACCACGGATCACAGCCTGCTCGGCGAGGGGACAAACCCTGCCTGCACCCCACCAGAGAGACAGCAAGAGGAAAGAACATCTGCACTCTGAGCCCTGAAGGCCAAATGGGCCTTGAACAGAGGAATTCAGAAATCTCTGAGCTAGAGAGTGCTATCAGAGCAGGGAGCGTTCGGAACGATGAGATCATGGAGCACAATCGCAACTCCCCCCACGGGCGACCGGGATGAAACTAGGGCAGAGGGCAGACTGGTCAAAGCCCACCCGGGCTCAGTTAAATGTGAGTCAACCTCCAAAAGATCACATTCACTCGCATACTTGCCAAACCTTACGAGGTGAGGTTTAAACCTCCTTGCCAAACCTCAAGGGTGAGGTTTAAATTCACCTGGATTTCTTGCTATCACCTTAAGCCTTGCAGTACTCAAAGGAACCCCCAAAAGCAGCTTTCCCCGCCCACCCAGATTTGATGGTGAAGCTCTCCCTGACTATCTCTCTCCTGCCTCCTACACTCACTCTCGTCAGTCACCAGGCCCCACAGCACGGCTTCCGAGTGAGACCCGAGAGCCTCCATCAGAATGAACGGAAACCCTCTCTACTTCACTGTTATTCTCAAGAGCAGATCAAACCTCACCTCTTCCATGAAGCCTTCCGTCAGGAAGTCTGCTCCATGTGACACATTTCTCCCTCCTCCGAACCTGCAGCATTTTCATGAAGTCACTGGTACTTCCCACACGCCGCTCCCCAGTTACCTCTTTTGAAGGAAACGTGCTCCTCCCCGCCAGGCTGCAAACCCCTACAGAATGGAGCCATAGCTTATCCATCTTTATGTCCCCAAATGCACTGTGCCCAGTACAGAGCAAGCACTTAGAGGTCACCGTTAGTATTATGTCAGATTTTTAAAGTCTTTGTGTTTCGTGTTTTCCTGAGGCGTGCGGGGAGTGGATCACCTCATTCTTTTCCCCAGAAGCCCCTACCTGCTGACCTGCACAGGCATTACTGCTGTGTGGTCAGGGAAGACCTAGCCTTAGCTCTCCCACCCTAAGTTAGCAGCAGAAACAATGCAAGGCTGCTCATAAGCGTTAAGAGACTTCAGACTTCAGCAGAAACAACGCAAGGCTGCTCATAAACCATTAAAGAGACTTCAAGATTTATTTATTGGCACAATAAATAAAGAGGCCGGGTATTCTGGGTCCTCCCATACGCGGTCTCTGGCACCACGGCCAACAGCCTGGGCTGCACGTCACTTGCCTGGCCGCCATGGCAGTTCCTCCCTTGGAAAGGCGGCACAGGCCACCAGGAAGCCTTCTGTGCCTCTGAACGGGACCCACCTGAACACGTCATTCCAGTACTCCTTCACATAGGACACCTGATGGAACGGGATGTCTAGAATCTGGCAGACCCTGTAGGCATCTTCACAGTCTCTGTCTGCAGTGCAAACTCCGTGTTCATCCAGCGAGTCCCAGTTCTTCATGAATACCCCTGTCACTTGGTAGCCTGGGGGAGACAGCAGGCACCAATCAGAGTCCATAATCAGCCCAGGATGAAAAGGCAGGAGTTCCTGAGCTCCCAGGAGCTCCCGGACACGCCCCACTCGGCACCACCATCCGCGGGTTCTCCCGGCAGTGCCTGCATTGCTATGTGGCCTTTGGAGTGACTCCCATCTCCGTGCCAGCCACCGGACTCAGGGGCCGGCCGATGGGCCCAGAGGCTCCCTCCCTAAGCTCCCACAGCGCTCTGTAAACACCTCTGTCATCATGGTGCGCTGCCGGATGGATGGCAACTGTTTGCCCGCGTCCCCCAGGTGAGCTAGAAGGCGTGTTTTCATCTTTGTGTCCCTGCCCCGTGTCTGCACAACGCCTAGCACACAGGAGAGGCTCCGCAAAGGAGTGCTGACAGAAGACCAGGAAGTCAACACTTTTCAAAGCAAACAAGAACCACCATTCAGTTATGGGAAAAGTAAACGAATTTCAAAAGTTGTTGCCAGTCATCATCTATAACATAGACTCTTAAGTCATCACACAAGAAGACAATTAAAATCTGGACTATTTTATTACAAAAGCAATACTATGTATCTCTTGACCTATTTTTTTCCTCTTTTTTTTAAAAAAAGTTTGCTTATTTGAGAGAGAGCGAGTACACGCACAAGCGAGGGGAGAGAGAGAAGCGGACTCCCCCTGCTGAGCAGGGAGCCCGATGTGGGGCTCAGTCCCAGGACCCCGGGAACATGGCCTATGCTGAAGCCAGATCCTTGATAGACTGAGCCATGCAGGCACCTTTTCCCTCTTCTAACAGAGTAGCCAACCAAATACCAGCAGGACCAGCTCTTAACTTTGCATCATCTTAGAGGACTACTCAGGTGCCTACCCTACAGGAGAAGTGTTTTTTTTTTTTTTTTAAGATTTTATTTATTTATTCACGAGAACACAGAGAGAGAGGCAGAGACATAGGCAGAGGGAGAAGCAGGCTCCATGCACCCGGAGCCCGACGCCGGACTTGATCCCGGGTCTCCAGGATCGCGCCCTGGGCCAAAGGCAGGCGCCAAACCGCTGCGCCGCCCAGGGATCCCCAGGAGAAATGTTTTTTAATGTTTCTTCGTGTGTAGCCTCGATGTAACAAAAGCCAAGATATTTGACTAAGAGGTGTTAAGTCAGGACTCCAAAGCCCAGAGATTCAGAGTTAAACCCTCTGTCCCCGTGCCCTGCACAGAACGGGAGCTAAACCAGTGCTTGTAGGAGAGAGAACCCCACATGTGGCTTTAAAAATCCACTCTTCTGGGCAGCCCCGATGGCGCAGCGGTTGGGCGCCGCCCTCAGCCCAGGGCATGATCCTGGAGACCCGGGATCGAGTCCCGCGTCGGGCTCCCTGCGTGCAGCCTGCTTCTCCCTCCGCCTGCGTCCCTGCCTCTCTCTCTCTCTCTCTCTCTCTCTGTAAAATCCGGGATCCCTGGGTGGCTCAGTGGTTTAGCGCCTGCCTTCAGCCCTGTGTGCAGGGCGCCGGGGCTCGGGGCGAACGGAGCGCGGCCCCGACCCCAGGCGCGCGGGCTCGGGGGGAAGGCAGCGCGCGGACATTCCGGGCGCGTCTCGCCGCGGGGCCCGGCAGGACCAGGACGGCCCCGGGGTCCGCGCGGACGGCGCCGTCACTCAGGCCGCAGGTCGTCGCAGCCCCAAGGCCGGGGCGCCCCCTGCACTGCCCGGGGAGCCGGGCGCGGCCGCAGGCCCCGAGGAGGGGCGGCTCACCTCTCCGCCTCAGCAGCAGCGCGGCCACGGCGCTGTCCACCCCGCCGGACAGGGCGCACACGACGTGCCGCGCCGCCTGCATCCGCTCGCCGCTAACCTCCCGCAACCTCAGCCGCCGCTTCCGCCCTGCGCCGGAAGTCCCGCCCCCGCCGCCGCCGCCGCGGCGACGACGACGCAGACGCTGCCCGGCCGGAAACGTGCGTTCGCGCACGGCCCTCCCCTCCGCCCGGGCTTCCGCTCCCGAGGCCCCGCCCACGCGTCCTGCGCGCGCACCCCTGCTCCGGCTCGCTGCTGCGGCTGCGCGCGCCGGCCGGGGGCGGGGCCGGCATCCGCTTCCAGGGCTCCCTGCAGACGCGCTGGCCGCGGGCGAGGGCGCGGAGGTCGTCTGGGGGTGTGGCGGGGAGCTGGGTTCTAGGAAGGGGGACCTTTAGGCGGGACAGCGAAGTGACCGCATCTAAGTTTAGGAAGGTTTTTGATGGCTGCCCTGTGCAGAGGACGAGCCGGGAGCCTGGTGTGCAGCCCTTGGGGGAGGGGTGCATTTGCAGGTAGACTGTGCAGCCCTTGCCTCGTCCTGCGGAATATTCCCGGGGGGAAGTGGCCTTCCAGGTCAGCTCCAGCGGGTCAGGTGCCTTGGGCCGTCATCCACCTGCAGATGCATCTGAATGAGCACGCATTTGGGGAGGGGGAGACAGCAGAACCCGGACACGTTCACTGGGGAGGAGAGGGGATTGTAGGAGGCCCAGATGGGAAACCTGGACGGAGCGGGGCCGTTTCGAGGCCTGGGGACGGGACGGCTGGGGGGCTGGTGGAATGAAGGGGTGGTCAGCGCCCAGCGCTAAGGCACCGCTCAGATCCGGAGGGCCCCAGCACCCGAGGGACTGAGATTTGGGTGGACACCAGGGGCTGTGGTCCGCACAAGCAAAATCAGGCATCCTTGAAATCAGCAGCTCTCACCTTTCTTCCTTTCAGAGCCAGTGTCACATTTTTTACAGGGTGGCCCGCAGGACGCACCAACCTACACATAGAAAGCATTAAAAGAAGCCTTCTGTGATCAGTTTTTATCTTTGCCATGTGCCATGGACTCTATTGTAATTTCCCACTTGGGTTTGTTTTGTTTTGTTTTTTTTGGGGGGGTTTCTATTTCATTTTTAAGGACTGCTAGTGCAGTCCACTAAATTGATTTCATGTAGAGTCTGAACCATGGCTTCAAAGTGTGAAGGAGGAGATGCCACAGCAAATGCAAATACATGGGAATCAGGCCAGTAACACACACAGACACACACACACAAAGCTTCAGGTTAAAATTGTGCTAGTTTCTTAACAGTTTCTTAGACTGACAGTGGACCAGATGTTTAAACATGGATAATTATTAAGGCAAGCTGTTTTCCTGAGGACAGGGATACTTTAAGGGTCTGGAGAGAAATAAGGAAGGCCCCAAGTCTCTGTTTCTAGAAGAGAAGCAGGACCTGCCTGCTGAGAGTCGTGGCCATTGGTGCAAGAGCAGACACAGGGTGAGCTCCCTGACAGAAGGGAGGCTCACAGGGCCCCATCAGGAAACAGAAGAATGACTGCTTTTTCTGAAGAATAAGTATTATCCAACAAAACCTCCAACGAGAGTATCTTTTTCATCTCACACTTAGAGAAGAGAGGAGTAGATGCAGTATCTGGCCGCCTGGCCTTTGGCAAATTTTGGGGTGAACGTGTGGTTGAGTCTGTGGCAGTGGCCAAGCTGAGGCCATTGGACATTCTGGTTCAGTCTAGAGGACTGAGTGTGGGATGGTTTAAGCAATGGGAAGACCAATGACGTCCCAAGTGCCATCTGCCAACAATGATGTGAGGTATGTAGATTTCAGAGATGTGCACCAGAAAATTAATGAAACACCGGAGGGTGGCCCTCTAGTGGCAGCCAAGGCATCTCCCACTACTGTGCAGAGCACCTGTCTCCAGGACCACACACTGCGCTCTTCAGTGGTGAGTGGTGTGCTTGGGGCCCAGAAACCGAAAGAGGAAGAGAGCTTGGGGAACATTTTGCCAGAATAAGCAGCTTCAGCAAGTCAGGAGGACGAAGCCAGAAAGGAAAAAGGATGATGCACGTAGGGTGGGAAGTGCTGCCTTATCCAACACATGCTCTTGGGGCCGGGGGGGGGGGGGTGGGTATCTCCCACTTGTTTGAGAATTAAAATCTTACTACTTCTGTCCTGCCTGGGCACAGCAAGGAGCAGCTTGAATTGCAAGAAGAGTTTGACCGCTCCAGGGGCAGCCTGAGGGAGGGGTGAGGCCTTGGACGAGGAGAGCCAGGGAGCAGGCCCAGCTCGTCCCCAGTTTGGATGGGATGTGGCCAGCGCCCCACTGGATGATCGTATATCATCATAAGGTTTGATGTCCCTCCCTCACCAAACTGTCAAGCCCCCAGAAGGCAGGGGGGTTGCGGGAGCTTTACTCCCCACTGCATCCCTGGGAGAATGCAGCCTGCCTACCATCATCTCCGTCAACATGTGGGCTGCCTGGTGGGCTCAGTAAGAAGAGCATGTGATTCTTGGTCTCGGGGTGGTGAGTTCCAGCAGCCCCCCGCCCCTCCCCCAGCGTTGGGTGGAGAGGACTTAAAAAAGAATAAAATGTGAATAACATATGAATGAATCAATTCAATTTCAGGTTTTAGGGTTTCTCCCTGTGAACTGAGAGACCACACCAGACATCAGAGGACCTTTGCATTAATCCTGGATTCTAGAATTCTCACCGCCCACAGGAATAGAGATGAGGGAGGAGGTGTGGGCTGCTGTGATTCCAGTAGGTTCTCTGCTCCCCCTGGCCAGGGAGTGTACCTAGAGCAAGGTGCCCTGCTTCCAGAGTCTAACTGGAGTTTACGCATTCCCACTTCTGAGCATTCCTACCTTTAAATGTGAAGCCTTTATCTGCAGGTGCAGCGATGCTATCCATGACACACGCTTGCTTTTTCTAGATAGCACAGGACTCGCTATTAACCGGAGAAAGCTCAAACCGCAGCCCCAGCACTCTTCCTTCAGCCCTGTGTGGACCGGGGCTCTCTGGGCTCGGGCAGGAAACTCCAGGTGGGAGCCCCAAAAGCAGGTCCCATGACTACTGTCTGCTGTGAGGCCGCTGGACTAAGAAATTTTCTCAAAAACTGAGGTATCGATACACATCAGTGGCTTCCAGGCCAGCTAGTTTTTATATTACATTAGAACGGCTTCAGGCAGGGATTGTGCTTTCCAGTGGCCCTTAGCTCCCTCTACCAGAGGGGCCCTGCTCTGGGCATTCCTCAGACACAGCCATCACCCCAGCGCCCACACAGCCACACCCCACCCGGCCCCGGGTCTCACACCTCTCCCTCTGCCTGGCCCCCGCCTCTCTGGAGCAGCCTCTCCTCTGGGTGTGGCCCTGAATGTGCGCTGGAAGTGCAGTTTACTAGGCTTGCCCCAGACCTGGGCGGTGGGGCCTGGGGTCTGCATTTAAGACAATTTTTCTTTAAAAGAAAAAAAAAAAAGAATTTTTCTTCATACTTAATTTTGAAAATCACTTATGGAAACAGTTTGGATAACCTAAATCCGATAATAATAAAAATAGTTAACGCATGTTTAAAAATCAAGATAACCTTAAAAATCAAGCTGTGCTTCAATACGTTTTCATTTATTTTACAATTTAATTTAAAATCTAGAATATTTAACTTTTCATACAAACTTAATTTTAAAAATAGTCAATTGCTATTTTACATACAAAAGATTCAAAACAAAATTCTTCATCTGGAGCAACTACAACTCCACGCTCCTGCTGGGTCCTCAGGGCAGAGGAGGGGTAGTTGCCAGGCAGCAGTGGTCTCAGGAGCCCAAAATCCCAGTCCCACCGCACCCTCTCCAGGCACAGTACCACTACTGAGGTCTGATATTTCCCCCTAGTACAATTTCTCCTAAAATTTATTTCTAAGGGTTGAAAACCACCTTAGGACTGGCCATTCTCTTAACAGAGTAAAATGTAAAGGACTACTCTACTCAGAACTTGAGAAGTGGAGAATCCACGTTTTCCTTGTCAGCCTCGGGACTCAGCTGGATCAGAGGAGAAGCCAAGTCTATCAGCTGCAAAAGAGAAGAGACAGGAGGTGAGTGGCATGGCCAAGTTGCCCCTGCCAGCCGCCCGTAAGCTCCCCGAGGACCCGGCTGCCCACGAGCCCTCTCTGACGTGGCTCAGGCCCGCTGACATTGCAACCGTCACGTCTAAGAATTTGTAAAGAGGAAATGCCACACAGAAGACCTTAGTTCGTGCAACATGTGTACTCCCATCACACAGTAGGCACCAAGGGACCCTAGGGTGGAGGCGATGCGACCCCCGGCCTCAGAGAGCTCTGGGCTTCCCGGGCAGGATTCCTTAGCAGGACTGGGTGCTGCTCAAACGTCACGCCACCAAGGGAGTGTGCCGTGAGCCATGTCACTTTAGAAGCCCCACTGGCCACTCTCAAGGGTCCCCGGGAGGTGCCCTGGTATGAGGAGCAAACCCAGAACTGAGACCACCCGAGGCCGAGGTCAACACAGAACCTCCTGCTGCTTCTCACCTGTGCCACCTCATGGGGAGGCTTGGACACCGTGTTTTTGTTCATGTCTGGAGTGTTTATCAGCAGGTCGATCAGAGGTCTACTCTCAGATCCTGGAGCTGCGTTTGCTTCTGGAGTATTGCCAAAGTCAATGAGAGGGTGGTCAACGAGAGCTGTGCTTTCAGCTTTCGGAGTGATGGCAAGTTGATCCAGGTTGATGTCCACGAGAAGAGTCTGGACGAGAACATAAGTTTAAAGGCACTTGTAGCATCTTTCTGTCAACCACGTTGAGGAAACCTAGGAAACCCAAGGAAGGGTGGGCCTCTCGGGGGGGAAGGGCTGGCTGTGGTGTGCCTGCGCTGACAGAGTTGTCTCCACTCTGGCCACCCCCCACAGAACTCCCACCCACGTCCACCTCCCTCTGGCCAACAGCCCACCCTGGAGCTCCTAGAGACCCTCCCACTGTGCCTTCCTACTTCCTGTCCTCTGAGCCCTGGCCCTCTGATCAAACAGGGGTTGGGGTGTGGCTTCTGTCCCCATTAGAGGCGGGAGGGCCTCACTCCATCTCTGGCACGGCTGGCAGCAGAGGCCCTGGGGCAACGGGCCATGGTACCGAGTGAGCACATGGCTCTGGGGGCAGATTCCGTTCGCCAGGACCGCACAAGTACCTCACTAGCAGGCCTATCTCCAGGTGGCGGGGCTGCATCCAGCACTACTTCTGAGCTGATACTTTTTGAAAAAGTAAAGTCACTCTTTTCTGGAGAAAAGTTAAGTGCCTGTGGCACAGCCAACAGAGGGGAGGAAGGCTTGGCAGGTGATAAGTCCTCATGCTCAGAGGCAGCCTCACCGTGGCGCTCCCTCGTTAGTGCAGCTCTGCCGGAGACAAAGACGAAAACCTCATGAGGGGACTTCTCGAAGTGTTAGCTCTAGGATTCCCATTCTAGACGTGGCATGTCATCCGGAGGGGCGCAGGCTGGCTTTCCTCCCAGCTCTGCCCGTGACAGCGCTGAGCATGAGCAAGTCCCCTTTGGACCTCAAGCTTCCTCGTGAATTAAAATAAATGGACTGAATGGTCTCTAAGGTCCTTTAGGCTTTAAAAGTTTAGCAACCTGCTGACAACATGGGCCCCTTTCCTGGGGGTCTGGTAAGAGGACAAATACATACTTCACACTCAGGCAGTAAGAAGAGATGCTCTGAAGAAAATCAAGCAGGGAAATGGAATAGAGTGACTGGGTAGGGAGGTGGGGCTTTCTGGAAAGGCCCCTGAGGTTGGCCCTCGAACATGGACTGCAATTGTGGAGGGGTGGCACACTCCAGGCGGAGAGGATGGCCAGGACGGCCCCATCCACCGTGTGGTGAGGGGCTAGCGTGGCTGGAGCAGATGGACGCGGGAGGGGCAGGTGAGGTGGGAGAGGCAGGTGGAACAGCTGCTCAGAGCCTGTTTCTCAGGAAGCCTGAGTGTGGTCAGTCCTGGCCAAGACCCTAGCAGCCAGACTGTGGGTCTCTCCCCGGTACTGGGTCACAAAGACTGAACCAGACCCCTGAGCTCTGGATCTGAGTGGATCTACAGACCCTCTCCCCAAAGGCTCCTCCCCACGAGAGGCCGTGGCCCAACACGGGGCCATCAGGGCAGGTGCTCCCCTGCTTGCCCAGGCCAGCAGCCACCCGGGGTAGGACGCTCAGTGAGGACTGTGATGGCAGAGCAAGCAGGTGCCCTCTTCGCTTCGGAGAGCCACTGACGGCTCCTGTGGCTGTCGCTGAGCAGACGTGATGAACCTCGGCCTGGCTGGTTCCGGGCTCGCTCAACAGACAAGGCAAAATTCTGGCGCAAGAACTCCGGGGTGTTGGGAATCGGAGACAAAGTTATTGCAGGGTTTAACAAACTCTTACCTCATGGAAGATTTTTTCTGGGGCTCAGAAGAAAGCTGCCAAGCAGACATACACGGGGGCAAAGCCAGAGCTCTGGGCATGGTTTTGGGGGTCACCGGCGGAAGGCCAGAGAGCCGACGGCTGGCAGGTGTGGGCAGGGCTGACACGTACTTCGTACTCACGGGGGTCCTTGTACCGCCTACAAGGCTTTGTGAGGCCACCATTGATGAGCGTCTAGCAGGAGTGCTATGCACAACTACCCTGGAAAAACAAAATTGGAGTCTTCAGCAGACATGACCGGAAAAAAAAAAAAACATCCAGCCAATATGCTAATGTGGTAAAAAGTCCTGATTTCAAGGTAGAAGAGTCAAGCCCGCAAGGCCCGTTGGAGGTCTGCTCTGGGAAGAAAGGGCTGCCACCAGCCCCCAGGGAGGCCCCGGTGTGGGCTTCCGGCTCCTCGATGAGTGGCCTCTCCATCCTTCTCGCAGGTTCTGATCAAATGTGATGGGCCCTTTCAGGTGGTGTCAGACAGACGCATGGAACGAGAGGTTCCAAGGACATCTGAAAGTCACCTTCGGTATTTCCATAAGGAAATGCAGATCCCCCAGTGGGACCTGCCTGGGCTCGCAAGCACGTTCACACACCCCAGGAGTAGCACACATGAGTAAATCAGGGTACCTGCCGCTTATTTCTCAGACATCCCTCCTTCCACCCTTGGTGATACATGTGGCTTCAACAGCAAGTGAATCCCGCCCATCTGTGTGGAGCCAGCTGCTTATTTTAAAATAAAGGAGTCGAGGACATCCTACCAACATGCAGCCCACAGGAGGGCTGTGGATCACTCAGGACAATCTTATGTGCTTCAAAAGAGTCTGAAAACAAACTTTAATATTAACTGAAGAACAAAATCACTCCAAGGGCAGGAGGGTGGGGTGCTCTAAGTCAAGCAGCCGCTCTCTGTAAGGTTCTGGAACCACTGCTGAACTCCAGCAAGAACAGATAAAAACACAAACAAATATAATCTTCAAGGTAACCCTGGGAGGTAGGAACCACTGTCCCGTTATACAGGTGAGAGGACTGAGGCCCAGGGGTAAAGTGAGGCAGGCAGTGGCCATCTGGCTGTGGGTGTGGAAGGGAGACTCTCCGCATGGCTAATGCTGTAAGGGGAGCATCCGATCCCACCCATGAGGCTCCTCCCCAGTTCACACTCAAGTAAATGAAAGCCCAGGGCCACGGACAGATTCACAGAGTGCAGGCTGGTCTGTGGCAGAGCCAGCATTAGGGCCCCCGTGCTGGTGTCTTATCTCCCAGCCCATCCCAGCCCCATGCAAAGCAGCACTCCCATCCCAGCTGCATCCTGGCCCCAGATATGCTGCTGCCCAGCCTGAGCATGTTCACTTTTGTCCCCACTCCCAGCTGACATGCAGAACGAAGGAGTGCTGGGACAGGACCCCTCTGACCCCAGCAGGTGGCAGTAATGGTGGTCACTGGCCCAGGCCTCGCGTGCATGCATGCGCGTGTCCTGACTGTAGTACCTGCTGTGGTGAGTGTGCACCACCCCTCCCACACCCTGCACAGGTGAGGAAAGCAGGTCAGGGACATCCAGACACTTGCACTAGGTCACACACCAGGGATGGTGGAGCGGGGATTCAAAACCCAGTTTAGAGGGATTTTGCCCGTGGCACAAACAAGAGCCCCCTTTTAAGAGTTGTGAGGGTGGGTGTTGCCGCCACCCCAGGTCGGGGCTGAGGATCGGCATGTCACGACACAGGCGACAAGTCTGTGACTATCACGAGGCGAATGTAAAGTGACACTGGCCCTCGGGAGCTCAGGCCACAACCCAACAGACCGGGGCTCAGGCCACACGTGGTCAGGCTGTGGGTCACCACATGTGCTTGAGAAGCCTCTGGGTGATGAGCAGGTCCCTCCTTAAGAGTCGGGGCTCCTCACCTTCCCGCCGACGTGCAGGACTGCGGCCTCTGTGCCTGATGGGACTTGGGTGTTGTGCCATCTGGGGGCTCACCTGAGACGGGAGAGGACGTGCGTGTGGTCAGTCACACGTGCAGCAAGTGACAAAGCCGCCAGCCAGGCAGCTCCCCTCATACACTGAGGGCCTGACAGCAGGGCCCTGTTCACACTGTGCCCGTGTCCCCTCCACAAGGACAGCTGGTGTCACCACCAGCACTCGCAGCCACACAAGGAGTATGCTGCCACGCAGTCGCAGGGCTGTGCGCTCTGAACAGTGCACGGGCTCGCCAGCCTCGCCAGCACTGACTATGGGAACAGTGTGACCCAGGGAGACAGCCCTGTCCCTGATACTGTGAAGGAAGGAGAATCCATTTCAGAAGAGCTGGAGGTGCGTGAAGGGGCCGGAACTGGCAGCAGAGGGTAGCCGCTGAGCGGCGGTGGGACTGGTAGGACTGGTACAGATCCCGTGGCCTCTACAGCTTGACAAGACCTGCACACAACGCAGCTGGAGGAAAGGCGGCCAGAGGCACGCCATGGCTTTGGGCACCTGGCAAGAAAGGAAGCAAACACGGCCGAACAGAGTGTGCGCCACGGGCCGCCCTCGAAGCAGCCATTCCGGCAAACACACTGAGCTCCCTGCCGTGGATCCTAAATATGGGCTCCAGCCGTGGCTTCTCCCTCGGCGTCCACACTCACACATTCAACTGCCTGCTCAACATGGCACACGGAGCCCTGCAGCACCCCACACTCAACGGGTCCAAACCGGGCCCGGGGGCTGTGCCGGGGCTGCTCTTCCTCCAGCCCTCGCCTGATGGTCGGGTGCCCCGCAGAGGCCCCTCCATGCTGCCGCACGCTCTTCCATCTCCTAGGTCTGTCGCCCCTCCCCAGACCATGATCTCTCTCCCCATTGTGGCAGGGCTTCCGCCTGGCTCCCCCAGCTTCCATTCATGCCTGAGGGGAGGGATCTGCAAGGCCAGCAGCCCTGCCCCATAGAATCCCTCCGCACCACTCCTGTCCCGAGACGCGAGGAGCTGGCCTGTGGCTGCCCGTCAGCCCTCACCTCTTGTTCCCCTTCCCCTCGTTCACTAACTTGGTTCACTAGGTTGCTAGTGTTTGTTCAACACCCACTCTCCTCTCCTTAGTAAGAAATGAGTGAGGCGGGAAGACAGCACGTCTTAGCATCCCTGGCAGGTTAGCAGTCACACGACCAAGGCCTGAGCGATGGGACGTAGGTGAAAGTGGCCAACACGACTTCCAGTAAGTACTGTTGCTCCTCCTCACCTAGCCCATCCCTGCTGCTGACCGGTGAGAAGGCTGGCGCTGCAGCAGCCAGACAAGAGCGTGAGGAAGAGGAACTAATCACGGCAGAACAAGACGGAGGAGGCCCGGCCTCTCAAAAGGAGGCTTCAGGGCTGTAAAGGCTGCCTGTGCCAGACATCGCTGCTGGAATACTTCGGAACAGTCAGGCTGCCTGGGAAGCACATCTTCTTGAGGGCAGCTACAACCACCTTTTCCCCTGAGTCTGCTCTGTACAGCCTTCTACATTTTACACACTTTTTAGATTAATGTACCAGACAGCATGCCGGCGCGGGCAGGGAAAGGCCAAGCCAGTCTGGCTGTCTTACTGATGAGTGGAGGCTGGGGGCTGGAATTTGAAGGGCAGAGCTAGACAAGTGGGAGCTACAGAGGCAGAGCTCCAGACATGGGAAGGGAGCCCCAGTCCCTGGCTGTGCAGGAAACAGCAGTGAGCGCGCAGTGAGACTCTGAAAGGCCAAGATGAAGATGGCCACCGGGGACAACTGCCACTGCTTGCACACGGCTGGGCAACCCCCATGTCCCACTGGCCAGAGTAGAGACCTAGGAAGCACAAGGCATGCTCAGCAGGGACCCGGGCAGGCCACGTGTTAGAAGGGGGGCCGCCCTGTCCCGAGGGTAAAGACTACAGACACCTGCCCCATCAAAGCTTCAAAAGAATCCTCAAAAGGATCAAGTTGACCCTCAACTTAAATGCCTTCCAGGGCGAAATTCAGCTCCTTCAAGCAGGACAACAAAGCCCAGATATTCAAAAATTCTGAACTTACACCATCTGACAGAGGATCAAATAAACAAGTGAAAAAGAAAAATGTGACCATCACCTGGGAAAAAGTCACTAGAAATGGACCCCAATATGACAGGGAAGATGGCGTTAGAAGAAACAGAGGTTGAAACAACCAACATAAATACGTTCAAGAATTTAAACACTGTTAGGACAAAGATGGGGAAACTACAATGTCAGAAACAAAAAATTAACCAGATGGTCTTCACTGCAGATTAGACACACCACCGAGAAAGTCTGGACTTGAAACGTCCTTTTCTTGAAACAGAAGAAAAGGTGGGGAAACCAGGCCTCCATGACGTACAAAACCACGAGAGGTAATACTTGTAATTCGACTCCCAGGAAATGAGGGGAGGCAAGAAAAAAAAAATCTGAAGAAAGAATAGCCAAGTTTTTTTTTTTCCAGAATTAATACGAGTATTAACCCTCAGATCAAAGCAGCTCACAAACCCGTAAGAAGGATAAACCCAAAGAAAGCCACTTCGAAATTCATAATAATCAAAATGCTGAAAAGAGTAAGAAACAGGAATTCCTGAGAGCAGTGCAGGATCGGTGACAGGACCTTGAGATAAGAATGCCACCGAGTTCTCGCTTGAAATGGTGCAAGCTAGAAGATGCTAGAACCACATGTTTAAAGTGCTCTAAGGAAAAAGAAAGCCAAAACACCATCATCACCAAAACAAACACTTCTGGAAAACCTTACATAGAATCTCTTCAATATTTTAAAAACACAAGAAATGAATGACCCACTCCTTACCAGTAGAAAACCTTGGTATCTTAAATTGACTTGTCGGCGTGGGCATGGCCCACGTCCTGCACTGAAGGTAGGAGTCACGCCTTCTCGTACTCCTGGCTGTGTTCCCCTGAGAAGGCTGAGACCAGATGGAGCTGGAGCAGGAGCTCGGCCCCGGGCCTCTCTGTTCCGGTGTCCCAGCTCTGCTGACAGCCGCTGGGCTGGGTGCCTTGGCTGGCTCCGCCGTTCCCCCAGCCGCCCTGGCCCACTTGCTTGGCCTGCAGGATGCACCCGCAGGGCCTGTCTGCAGAGGCTGCCGAGGCGTGGCGAGTCCCGCTCTGCCTGACTGGCTGGGGTTGGATGGCAACCCGGGACTACCCGCAGGGACACTTGCAGGTTCACTTGACCTAGCTGGAAGAGGAGACACAAAATCTGGTTATCGCTCAAGTATATGTTGTTATTAAATTATGAAGTTACTTAACACCTAAGGAGTTTTCAAGTGAAGATTATTTTGACCATGATGATTTCCATATGAGAAAAATAGGACCCGTGAGCAACATTCTGTATGCCCATCAGGTAATGTCCTCAAACACAGGACAGGCTAAGTTGCGCACAGCTTAGCTGCATGTGCTCTAAGGTACTAACTCTAGACACAATTACCAAGATGTATGTATGTAACTACATGTGATTTCAATCTCTCCCGTCTTCCCTGATTTTGTCAACAGCAGACATTCTACCCTGAGTGGCCAGAAGAGGACAGTGTTGTCACATGCCCCACCCCCTGGTCAGGGTGCAGGGGAGGACCAGAAGAGAAGGGGCAGTCATTCCTGGCCGGTTCCTTCAAATCCTAGGCGGTTGGGCCATAGCAATCATGGGCACTATTTAAAACAGAAAGAAGGGATCCCTGGGTGGCGCAGCGGTTTAGCGCCTGCCTTTGGCCCGGGGCGCGATCCTGGAGACCCGGGATCGAATCCCACGTCGGGCTCCCAGTGCATGGAGCCTGCTTCTCCCTCTGCCTGTGTCTCTGTCTCTCTTTCTCTCTCTCTGTGTGTGACTATCATAAATAAATAAAAATTAAAAATAAATAAATAAATAAAAATAAATAATAAAACAGAAAGAAGATAGACGTGGGTGAAAAGTACTCAGGTGCCGCTATGCCCCACACAGACGTCAGTCCCGGGAGGACTCCTGCAGAAAAACTCGAAGAGAAAGGCTGACGCCATAGCATCCCGGCTTCAGTGCTCCTCCCCAACGCTGTCCTGTCTGACCTAGCCATCCCCGAATACACACACACACCATAAGGCCCACTCAACGCCCGTCTCAGCCCTTATCAGAGGTAGGAACACAGCAATCCCCAAACCGTGCCCATGTCCTGCACCACTGCAGCCACCAACTTCACCACCCCTCATATCACAGAACTTCCTTTCCCCACTCAGGGCCCGTGTGTCAGAGAGGCCAGGACAGGCCTTGGAGCACTCCTAGAGCAGGTGACAGCACTGCAGGGGAGGCACTGTCCTGCGGTCTGTCCACTGATGGAAACTTCAGTTCTCTTCACCACCACTGGGCAGTTGGGGCTGCACATATCATCGGTCTGATTCCAGACTTAACACTTTTCACAGTTTGTGAACAAACTCCACACACATGTCCACAGCAAACAGCACAGGCCTGAGCAGGGAGTCCTGAGGGGCTGGAAGGGCTCTTCCCTGGAGGGAAGACTGGAGGGCTCCCCCTCTACCACTAGATGGGGCCCTCGGCCCACTAAGACGACCACATAGTCCGAATTGAATCCGGTTTGGGTGTGGGGATTAAATAAACGCCAAGTTTAAATTTTTTTTTTTTATTTACTTATGATAGTCACAGAGAGAGATAGAGAGAGAGGCAGAGACACAGGCAGAGGGAGAAGCAGGCTCCACGCACCGGGAGCCCGACGTGGGACGCGATCCGGGGTCTCCAGGATCGCGCCCCGGGCCAAAGACAGGCGCCAAACTGCTGCGCCACCCAGGGATCCCTAAATGCCAAGTTTAAAAGGGTCAGGTGCCCTAAATTATTTGGAACAGTCCTATTTTTAAAACCTGTGTCTGATTACATGTCCACAGGCTGGTCTCAGCGTCCTTATGCGTCCCAGGCACCCAGAGCCTAACACCAGCTCCAGCACTGCAAGCCGCCCTCAACTAAGCCCCTGCTAAGAGCACCTCTCCTCAGAGGACCGGGAGCATGGTGAGGGCAGGGACCCTGAAACAGTGGCCCCACCTCCCCCCTCCACACCACAGCAAACCCTCCAGAACCTTGTGCGGAGTCTAAGTGAGAGTGGGCACACAGTTGTGGTCCAGGGCACAGGTGGGTCCAAGGGCAGAGAGCCCCACCGGCCTTACCTCTGCAGGCTGCCGGAGAAGCACACGCATTGGAAATCACAGCCAAAACGGACCCTGAGGAAGAGGACTTTCTCGAAAGACCGCCAGCACAACCAGGTCGTTTCAACAGGGTTTTCTTCAGGCCCAAGTGAAACAAAATGTTTAAAAAAAAAGTCACCAAAGAGTTCATTATCCACCTGTTACTTTTTTATGCAAAAATAGTGTTTTAAAATAATTTTTAATAATTTAATAATTGTCATCTTGAATTCAAAGGAAAAGTCCAAGCCATCCTGCTCAAGTGCAGTCTTCAAAGCCCTGCATAGAAATAGCTGGGAACTTGCAGAAATGCAGGTTTCTGGGCTCTATCTCCCCCCCCCCCCCCGCCTCCCTAAAGGAGTCCACAGCTGTAGGGCACAGTTTCTAGCGATTTTAACAAGTACATCAGTGGTTCTTACAGCTCAGTTTAACCACAACACCAGAAAATAAACAGCAAAGCCGAGGGTGATCGTCTGTGAGCTGTGTGTCCGAGCCCTGACATCCCATCTCGTCTGTGAGGGAAGCAGGGAGCAGCACAGACACACAGATGTGCAGAGAGGCTGACCTTCTTCAGCCCATGGAGCCCTGGCGTGCACCAGGCCACACTCTCTGCCTTTCATCAAGCCGCCTCTCACGGATGCCACTCCAACCTTTCTAAACTGGATTTTCATCAAAGACACATTACGTGTATACATCGCTGCCCCTTCATTCCCTTTGCTCACAGGCCATGCCCACCCGCAGCCCTGGTGAGACCCACCTTGTTTGGAACAGGGAGCGATCGCTTGCCTTGGACCAAGTGGCTTCCACCAGCTGGCATGCCGGCAAGCTCTTGGGCAGCACTGGATTTGTCCGGGGGCACGTCCCTGTGGGATTCCTTTTCATTTAGGATTTTCATACCCGAAGGACTAGCTGGTATCCTTTTCATAGCCTGAAAATTTTAATATGAAATGTGAAAACTGTCCTCTTTAGTAAAGTACAGACACACCAAAGCTTTGATTTAGAGCAACTGCAGGCACCGTCTTCCCCATGCTATACACATTCCTTGACTCAGCAACCAGATTGAAGCGAATATAGCAGTTCACTTCCGCCACCAAATTACCACGGATGAAAATGACGGCACTTGCTTTCGCATTAAAAACAGTAAAATAATATCGAGCCAGATCATTAACAGGAGAGAGATCCTCTAAAGCTATTCCTCAATCAGGATTATTTAAGGATGATAATGAGGAAACTGGTTCTAGTAACAAAAATTTTTAAATGCTGTATGGAGAGGAATCACTCATTAAAAGGTCGTTCCTTCTAGCAGGGATGCTGCTCAGTTATAATAAATCTTGGAAGAGTACTGAAAGCCATTTTTCTTTGGACAACAAAGAATAAATTTCTAACATATATAGATACAAGGGCATTCATGAAACCAACCTATGCTTATATAAATAACCCTCTATAACGAGGACAGCTAATAAGAAGCAATAGCAGCTCATAAAGTCACAGGACTGAAACAGTTAACTTTCTTCTATAGCATTTTTTAAATTGAGATATACCTCATGTAACATAAAATTCACGATTTAGAAGTATACGGGTCAGTGGTTTTTAGCACGGTCACAGCATCAATCTGAGAACATTTTTGTTGTCCCTGAAGGAAACTGCTAGCCCTTAGCAGTCGCTCTGCACCCCTCAACCTGCCCACCTAGCCGGCCACTAACCCACTCCCCACTCTACAATTTGCCTATCATGGTCCCTTCCTGTAAATGGAAGCACACAATATGTGACCTTTTGTGTCTGGTTGCTTTCACTAACCAGGTTTTCAAGGGTCATCCACATTATACTATGTATTAATATCGAGTTTCTTTATTGCCCGAGTCCACCCGTTGTCACACACACAAATCCCTGCCTGGGTCCACACAGTACACATAAGATCCACGTCACTTGCATTCTAGAGACATCGCTTTTAGAAATGTACATCCAAATGGTCTCCAGGAAAAGGAGTTTGTATGATTAAAGGAATAGCTCCAGCTATTTAGGGGAAGTGATGGCCAGCGTGCCTCCTGTCCAGGTTTCAGTGTGGCAGACAAGCTTTAAGCTCAGATCAGTTCTGGGTTCTGAGAGCAGGGAGTCAGTTTGGGAGATGTGCTTGTAGAGGGAAAAGAAGCTCCCAGGCCCTCGCTGAGTGGTTTGCACTGACCCAGACCTTCCTCAGTAACTGGTTCAGACAATGGAGGCCTGGGGCCCAGGTTAGCATCAGAGCTGAGAAACAGCACACAGAGGCTCCAACCTGTCTGCCTCTCCTCAGAATAGGAGCTTCCTCCCCTAAGCAGAGATGTATCAGCAAAGCTTGGAAGTAGCTGCCCTCTAGCACCTTCCCCTACCCTAGTGCCCTGCCCCATGAACCTCCAGGAACCCCAGTGCCTCAGAGTTGGCTAGCCGTACCCCCAAAGGCCCGCCTGTCCACTGCTACTTCCAAGGACAGCTCATCTGTTTAATTCCTGGGAGGAAAGTGATCTAAACAAATTCAGTTACTCAAGATGACTAGGTGGCTATTCCAGGAGGGGAATTTTTGGAAGTTGCTTGTCAATGCAAATGAAGTCCCTAATGAGTAGAAAATCCAGTGTTGTAACAAGCAAACGGAAAAATTTCAAATGGCATTTAGGAGGAGGTGTTCTTAAGGCATCACAACAGGAAGGCAGCCCTTGCCCCCGCATATCCACCCCAAGCCCAGCTCTCATGCTGTTCCTGCTCTGAAAGGACTTGCCATTCCTACGCTTCTGAGCCCACAGCACAACTACATTTGCAATAACAGCTTCTCCCCGTAACAGTTTCCATCAGAACCATAAACGGAGAGGGCTAAAACGCCAAGGAGCACCGAGCTCTCCAGACAGACGTGTTAGTACGTGGATGTGTCTACCTGCTCTGGGGCCACATGAATGTTTTTCCCTCTAAAAGACAAAGCTCGGGGTGGCACCAATTTGCTGATGACCCTTTTCTGAGTCCCCGCCTCGTGTGGAGGGTGAGCAGTTCTTGGTTTCACAGGCAGAGAAGGGCAGGGTGACCGTGGGGGTTCCTGTGTCCGGGTGAGGCTAGTCTGGACGGGAGCGCTTGGCAGGGCCATGCCTGAAGGGGTCTGGTTTCCCAAAAGTGGCAGTCCCCCCAAGGGGCTGTCTGACAGGTAATATGTCTCCCTCTTAAGCGACTTGGGGCTTTTCTTCATTTCATTTTCTTTCTCAAACAGGTCTATTTTTAATTTTGATTCCTGTATAAATCTTTCCACACCCTGGCTCCAAAGATCTTCAGCTGTGACCTCTTGGGCTGCTTTGTTTTTGCTTTTGCTTTCTATCTGTAAGGCCAATAAATGAGCTTCTTTATACACTTCCACAAATTTCTCCCCAGTGAGAGGACTCCAGGTGAAGTGACTTTCCGAAGCTGGCAAAAGAGGTTCTTTGGGAATCTGATGATTTAATTCCAAGCTGGCAGCAACGCATCTTTCTTTATGCCCAACGGGTCCAAAGAAGACTTCCTCATCTTCATTTGCACTATTTTAAATAAAAGGATTATTAATGACATTGGCATTTAAATGAAAGACTTTATTGAATGTGGTTAAACCCAAGGCAAAGGAAGAAAACAGCTCTGTTTACCTTGAAGAAGACAATGAAAGATCGAAGTCAAATTTTTCATCAGCCAAGAGAAGAATGTCTGTGGGGAAAGAGTTCAGCATTATTTGAGGGTTGGGGCTAACAAAGAGAAAACATTACCAGTCTCTACAGCCATAAAAACAATGACAAAACCTCATCCCCTTATCATTATTTATTTATTTATTTTAAAGATTTTATTATTTATTCATGATAGAGAGAGAGAGAGAGAGAGAAAGAGAGAGAGAGGCAGAGACACAGGCAGAGGGAGAAGCAGGCTCCATGCCGGGAGCCCGATGTGGGACTCGATCCCGGGACTCCAGGATCGTGCCCTGGGCCAAAGGCAGGCGCTAAACCGCTGAGCCACCCAGGGATCCCCTATTTATTTATTTTAAAGATTTTATTTATTTTTTAGACAGTGAGCACAAGCAGAGGGAGAGGCAGAGAGAGAAAGGGAGAAGCAGACTCTCCACTGAGCAGAGAGCCTGATATGGGGCTTGATTTGAGGCCCCGGGATCACGACCTGGGCTGAAAGCAGACACTTAACTGACTGAGCCCCCAGGTGTCCCCTTATTATTTTATGATTTTATTTATTCATAAAAGACACAGAGAGAGAGGCAGAGACACAGGCAGAGGGAGAAGCAGGCTCCGCGCTAGGAGCCCGATGTGGGACTTGTTCCCAGGATTCTGGGACCACACTCTGAGCCAAAGGCAGGTACTGAACCACTGAGCCACCCAGGCATCCCCCTTATCACTATCTTAATAGTCACATCATCATAGAGGGCTCTAGATTATCTAAATTTTTTTGTTTTCTTTTTAAAATAGCATCAGTAATTCTGTTTGCTAAGCTGACACATAAATCCAAGTCCTTATCTTAAAAATATTATCTAAAATGCAATCACCAAGTCATCCAACTAGTTTTTCAAGGCTAGATAAGTCATCTTCAGGTACAGACCATTTTCAAAAGACCACCTGCTTCACGTCCGTCAGACTTAACTTCCTGGCTTACAGACTACGTAACATCTGTTTTTGTTTCAAAAACAAATCCAGAATTATTCAAATGCACAGTTGGGACTCCATAGGAATTTGCTGACAAGCATCTCCTCTTAGAGCCCACCTTGAAACCCCAGATGGAACTGCATTTTGTACCCCTTATCCACACTTGCACCACAGTCCCTTTACCAGCCCCGCCTGGAGGCCTGACTCCCTCTAACAAACCTCAGCCCCCCACCCCACATCACCCCCCATTAGTGGATCTCTTTCATGGGGCAACTGCTCCCTCCCCTAGCTCCAACACCCCATCCACACCCATTTTTCTCTAGGGCCTCCCCATCACCTAGACCTGACCTCTGTCACGGTGCTGTCTTGCTGTTCCTTAAATGTCCCTTTACCCTTCTGAAGCTCCAACTAAATTGTAAGGTCCTCCAAGCCAGAAAATGTCTAATGCTCTCACAAATTCCCTTAATGTCCAGCTAAGGGCCCGGATACTTGACAAATAATTATCGTTAAGTGCTGAACAGTTATTTCCATATCGTAAAGTTTATACAGCATTTTAACAAATCATGTCTTATTTGATCCTAATAAACAATACAGCATACTTATTAAAATTATGAAAATTTAAAATATACTAATATCCTAATTAGATTCTAAATAGTCACTTCAATTATTCTTAATTACCCAATAAAGGAAAAAATAGAAAGCACAAATGCACAAATGAAATAAAGAGAAATAACCAGAGAGAGAGAGAGGGAATTAAGAGATTCATAATCTAGTCTGCTCAACTCCATGCACATAAACCCAAGAACTTGGCTGAAATGCAAAATTTTCTAGAAAATACTATTTTTGTATTTAAATTACTTAAGTGGATTTATTTATAAAACTGACTCCAGAAGAGAGAAAAAAACTTAATAGTTCAATTACCACCAAAAAACTGCACAAATTTATTCAAGAGCTATTGTCCTCAAAAAAGCACAAGTTCCAGATAGTTTCGCAGAATAATTCTGACAAATCTTTCAAGAATGTATCATTCCGAAACTATTTAGACTGTTCCACAGGATAGAAAAAAGAAACCTTTCCACTTACTTCTACAAAGCAAGCATAACCATACCCAAAACCTCTAGAATTAGCTCAATAAAGAAAGCTACAGACCAGGTTGATAACATAAATCCTAAATAGGATTATTAGCTAACAGAATCACCAACACATTAAAAGAAAAATATATCATGACTAGGTCAAGTTTGTTTCAGGACTTCAGGACTGTAGGATGACTTACTCTGACATAATCTAATAACGTAATTGTTATATTGCTAGATCTAAAAGGAAAACCCTACATCATTTCCATCTATGCTAATAAGACATGAAAAAATGCAACATACCTTGTGGATCTTAAAAGCCCTTCATAAAAAGTAATAGATACATAACAGATACATTTGGTCATACAAGGAAGTATCTATCTCCAGCCAAAAGCCTAAATTAGGTTTAATGGGATATGATCAGAAGCAGTCCTTCTAAAGCCAGGAGCAAATGTACCTCATCAGTCAGGACAGGCTAACTTACGCTGAAGTAACAGACAAGCCCTGAACCTCAAGTGGTGTATTTCTCACCCTTACTCTACATCTGCTGAGGCTTGGGCCCTGCTCCACATCCTCCTCACTGCACAACACAGGCTGATGAAGCCTGGTCTTTGTGCTAAAGAAACTCCATACCAGTTCCTACAGACTCAGAAGTGACACATATCATCACAGCATTCCCATTTCACTGGCCACCTTTCAAGTCCCTTGAGCCAAATCCAAATTCAAGTGGGTGGGCAAGTACAATTCCAGCATTTACCCAGGAGGAAAAAAAAAAAGTAGAAAGAAGGAGAAAAAAAGTGGAAATACTGATAAACAGCACCCAGAACCACTATCTCTGTGTAAATTAACTTGCAAACCAGCATGAGGCTTACTGGAAATCTAAAGAGGAAATGCCATGAAAGCCGGGCACATGGCCATGATGTCTGCTGTCACGACAGCCGGGACGCTGTTCTGAGTACACCAACCAATAAGAGACAAGGGAAAAAATCTGGATGTACGAGTATCACAGTGCACAGATGCTCTGACTACAGATGCAAGAAAACCAAATGAATACCATTACAAGCAGTTAAAGGATAAAAGCAGATGCCTGAGGACAAAGCCTAACAAAAGGTTAGGTAGGACAAAAATACCTATAAATAAACTTAACAAGATATACGCAAGATGGATATAAAGAAAACTTAGTATATCATAAAAGTAGCACATCAATTAAAGGGGGAAACAGTGTATTCAATAAATGATATTTTCCCTCAGGGGAAAAATATATAAAGGGAACAAGAAGAGGTGCCTGGGTGGCTCAGTGGGTTGAGCGACTAACTCTAGATTTCAGCTCAGGTCAGGATCTCAGGGTTGTGAACTTGAGTAGGCACTGCACTCAATGTGGCGTCAGCTTGAGATTCTCTTTCCTTCTCCCTCTGCCTCTCCCCCGACTTATGCGCACACACTAGCTCACTCAAAAGAAATAAATCTTTAAAATAAAATTTAAAAAAAAAAGAACAAGAAAAAACCATGAGGAAACTATTTTATAATCTAGGGAAAAGAGGTCTAACTATGACGCCAAACTGGACGCCATAAAAAACTGATGGTACGATATGTAAAAAACAATTTTAAATCTCTGCATGGCAAAAATCACCATGAGCAAAGTTAAAGAAACAATAAGCAGGGAAAAATATTTGCAGCTCACATCTCAAAGGGCTCATTTATGAACAGTGCCTACAAACTGCTAAGAAAACAACAAATGATGTAATGGGAGAACTAACAAAGGATATAAACAGATAAAATAACTGATAAAACAAAAATAACCCCGAGATTCCACTTTTCACCTATCAGATTGTCACAAAGAGGTGGTAAAACGTGGGCAAGGTTGTGGGGAAAGAGACGACTCATACACTGCTGGGGAAGGCATCACTTAGTCTAGCTGTCCTGAGAGTCCCCAGGCAACACCTACAAAATAGAGAAGTGCACAAGTCCTCCGGCCCAGCAAGGAGACTTGCGTGAGTACATCCCACAGACAGTCATGGTGCTGCTGGGTGCAGCAGCATTTGAAAAAGCAAGACACTGGGCACAAACTAATGTACACCCACAGCAGATGGGAGAAATTATAGTCCCCCCACCAAGATGGACCACTACAGAGGTACAAGAGAACAGGAAGAGTGCATGCGTTGATATACAAAGATCAAGATAAATCGGTGCCAAAAGCAAGATGCAGCACAGGGTTCCATCTGCTATAAAAAAGGGGCAATTGGCTGACAATGTACACGTATTGGCCTGGAAGATCAAACAGACCAAAGGCACTGATGGCCTTTCGGGGGCAGCTAGGTGGCTGAAGGAGAGGCTGCAGGAAGTAGAAACAGGTAGGGGCCAGATCCTGGAGGGTTTGCAAGCCATGGCAAGGAGCTTCTATTTTATCAAAGTGCAAGAGGAAGCTATGGAAGGTTTTAAGCATAAGAGTTATGATCTAACTTGTGTTTTTATTTTATTTTATTTTTCTAACTTGTGTTTTTAAAAAGTTACCCTAGCTGCTGTGTAGAGTATCAGCCAAGAAGAAGGCGTGTCTATTGAAATCACAAATGCAGAAGTAGGTGGAGGTGAGTTAATGTGGCTGAAGCACAAGGCAGTGGCATCTGGTGGGTGGAGTTGTCAAGAGGCAGATGGATCCAAATATATTCTGAAGGTGGAAATAGCCATAAAGAATGGCTGAAGGGGGATCCCTGGGTGGTGCAGCGGTTTAGCGCCTGCCTTTGGCCCAGGGCGCGATCCTGGAGACCCGGGATCGAATCCCATGTCGGGCTCCCGGTGCATGGAGCCTACTTCTCCCTCTGCCTATGTCTCTGCCTCTCTCTCTGCCTCTCTCTCTCTCTCTCTCTCTTTCTCTCTCTATCATTAAAAAAAAAAAAAAAGAATGGCTGAAGGAACGTGGCCACTTCACAACTTAGCTGAGTACACGGAGGGGCCATTTACTTCCATGAGAGGGCAAAGAGCAGGCTAAGAATGGGGTGGGAGGGGGAGCACATTGAGCTGGAAGTGCAAGACATGAAGGGGAAGATGCCAAAGAGGCTGGTGGATATACGAATCCAGAGCTCTGAGCAAAGGCTGTGCTCAAGACAAAACGTGGGCACCACTACAAAACAGATGGGGTTTAAAGCTGCGGGAATATCTGAAAGGCCCTGGGGTGGGGGTGGGGGTGGACCAAGAGACCCCAGACCAAGTCCTGGGGAGCATTAGCTTCAGAAGACAACAGAGGAAGAGGAGCCTCCAAAGGGATGGATAAACCAGCCAGAGAGGTGGAAGGACTTGCATCTGTATGCCAATGATGAGCAGGAGCAAATGGGCCGGCACAAAATAAGGCTACGACGGAGAGGGGGTGACATTAGGGGTGAAGTCCTCCAGAGCAGCAGCGGGGATTCTGCATGCACACTGAAGGGACTGGTACTTGAAAGGGAGGAAACAACAGGAAGGAGAAAGGGCTGCAGCAGCATTTACCTTTCTAGATACAATGAACAAGTGATGAAACCGGCAAAGCTTCCCGGGGGGCGGGGCGGCTTCAGTGTTGGGGATAGCCAGTCCCCCGGCCTCCCCGAGGTGGTGAGGAGCAAAGGATACGAGGATGTCAAAAGGCTTTAGGAGAGTAAGAGGGTATGGCCTTACGCTCATTTTCCTGAGGCTGCATTCTCACGCTGACGCTCAAGCCAGACAGGAGAGTCACGGGGATCCTGCACAAACTCTTAGCGAGCAGAAACCAGCAAACGAACACAAAGAGAAAACATCACATCCGACCCCTCCGGTATCCGGGTGCTCTCGGCACTGGCTGAACACAGCAAGACGGGGTGGGAAGAGTCTAGAACTGGGTGGGAGGGGGGGGGGAGGCAGAAAACTGGAAACTAAGGACACTAGATGGCTGCAAACCCCTTGAAGACGTGGACGGGGAGCTCGGCCCACACCTTCACAGAACCATCTCCCTGGACCACGGCGCTGCGGCCGCACGCACGTACCGTCCTCCTTGGGAACATCCATCTCTGCTTCTCCTGGCTGCCGGAAGGCCCCTCCGAGGTGTCCTCCTTCCACGGGGAGGGCTGTCAGGGAGCCACTGCGGGGAGGACCGGGCCAGTAGGTGAGCAGGTGTCGGGGCCCAGCCCCACCCCACCCCACCCCCAGGTCCGCCGCGCCCGGGTCAAGGCCGGGCGGGGGCACAGGGCGCAGGCGGCTGCGGCCAGGTCACGGAGGGCAGTGGCGGTCGGAGGCCTCGGGAGCTGCAGCCCGGGACCCTCCGCGTCCACCCCCCGCCCCGGGGCCTCGCGCCCCCAGGCCAGGCGCTCCGGGGGCCCGATCAGCCCTGAACTCCGCGGACAGGCACAACGGAATCCCCCGCGCTCGGGGCAGCCCCGACCGGATACGCGAGGGGACCCCGCGACCGTCCGCCCGACCTACCGGCGACCCCCAGCCGAGCGACGGCGACACCGGGCGACCCCTCCCCAGCCCCGGGGTTTAAATGTGGCGCGGCGGCGCGGCGCCGGCCTCCGATAGGCCGGTTTGAAGGCGCTCCGCGACGTCACCGCGCCCGGTGCATCCTGGGGGCTATGGGCGGAGCCGCGGGGCTGGGCTCCGCGAGCGCGGCTGGGCTGCGCATGCGCACGGTCAGGCTGGCTCCCGCTGGGTTCCGCGGGCGTCGCCGGGGTGTGTCCCGCAGGCTCGGCGTCACGCGCCGAGGGACACGGTTCCGATGCCACCTCTTTATCTGTGAAGCTACAGACTTCATTTCCTAGCTAGGGCGTCGATGGGAAGGCCGAGCGACGTCCGTGCACCTGTCTGCTTTGTAAAGCAGCGCGCGCCGCTTGCTAATGCGGGCGGAAGGCGGGGGCCCTGCCCCGGGGAGCGCACGGGGTGGCCCGCTGTGTGCCCCTGCAGCAGGGGAAGCCAAGCTGAGTGGTGGCCTGAGCATGGCCAGAGGTGGCACAGAAGCCTGCCCTGGGCTTCAGGGCTGCTGGGGAGCTGGGTGCGTCCTGCAGGCAAATGGGGGGCGTTGGAGGGGTGCGCGGGGTCCTGTGGGCGGGGGGTGGGGTCTGCACGGGACAATGCACACGTTGGAGCAAGATCCCTGATCTGACTGGCGAGAGGGTCAATCAGCGGCAGCTTGAGATTGACCTCACTTGAGCCTTAGACTGGGAGCCAGGTATAATACCCACCCCGTGGCCTGGGGGCGGGGGGGATGAGGGGCGCCGTTCAGGACACAGTGTCCCCAAGCCCTTGCTCTAGGCATCCGGGACTGGTGGTTGTAGGGGGAGGTGGGAAGGAGGAGCCTGGGATGGCCCCATAGGGTCTGCTCTGGGAAGGTCTGAACTCCAGAGGGAGAGCACCATTTTCAGAGGATAATGAGCTCTTTATTTGGGGGCAGGTTGGGTGGAGAGTTGTCCAGGGGGCAGTCATCCTGGGCCCAGGACCTATGCCAAGAAGCCTTCCAGGCTGGCGGGCATCTGGACTCCCGTGTCTCTGGTTTCACAGCATCCACACCAGTCACCCCATGTTGTTCTGGTCCTTCTCCACTTTTTATTTTTTTTAAAGATTTTATTTATTTATTCGTGAGAGACAGAGAGAGGCAGGCTCCATGCAGGGAGCCCGATGTAGGACTCGATCCCCAGGACTCCAGGATCACACCCTGAGCTGAAGGCAGATGCTCAACCACTGAGTGCCCCTCTCCACTTCTGATCCGGCTCCCCATGAGACTGAACCCCCAAAAGGCAAGGTGTGGGTCTCATCACGTGATGTCTCCCAACTTCACCCAGCCCAGCGATGGGCCTCAGGCAAGAGTTGAGAGAGTGGGAGCTGGATACTGAAGAGGCAGGAGGTGGGGAGTGGGGCTGGGGGGGAGTCTAGCAGCTTGGAAGGAGCCCAGCCTACCCTCTGCTTCCCCTTTGTCTTGTCCTGGCATCACCAACAACCTCTTTTCTATCAAAGGGCTCCCTCTGTAGCCTTTGGCTTCCCATGGTACTCCCATGTGCTGGGTCCTTTGGACCCTGCCTTTCCCACCTGAGTCTGTTCATGAGGTCTCTTCTGAATTCCATTGTCTTTTTTTTTTTTTTAAGATTTGTCTGTTTTATTTTATTTTTTTGAACATTTTTTTTAAAGATTTTCATTTATTTATTCATGATAGACATAGAGAGAGGCAGAGACACAGGCAGAGGGAGAAGCAGGCTCCATGCCACGAGCCCAACGTGGGACTTGATCCCGGGACTCCAGGACTGCGCCCTGGGCCAAAGGCAGGCACCAAACCGCTGAGCAACCCGGGGATCCCAAGATTTGTTTGTTTTAAAGAGAGGACACATGAGCAGGAGGAGGAGCAGGAGAGGGAGAGAGAATCTCAGGCAGACTCCACGCTGAGCATGGAGCCTGATGCAAGACTCCTCTCACAACCCTAAGATCATGACCCAAGCTGAAACCAAGAGTCGGACACCTACCCACCTGTGCTACCCAGGCACCCCAATGAATGCCATTGTCTTTAGCTCAGATTCCTGCTTAACTAGGGAAGAAAGGGGCAGCCCAGGTGGCTCAGCGGTTTAGCGCTGCCTTCAGCTCAGGGCATGATCCTGGAGACCCGGGATCGAGGCCCACATCGGGCTCCCTGCATGGAGCCTGCTTCTCCCTCTGCCTGTGTCTCTGCCTCTCTCTCTCTCTCTCTCTCTCTCTCTCTCTCTCTCTCTCTCTCTCTCTCTCTCTGTGTGTGTGTGTGTCTTTATGAATTAAAAACAAACAAAAAAAATCTTTAAAAGCTAGGGAAGAAAGGTGGTGCCAGGCAGACCCATGTGCAAATCCCAGCAGCAGGTATCCATCAGAGCCTTTGGGTTGTAAGAAACAAAATCAGCTTCAGGCTGGCTTTAGAAAGAGGAGAATTTACTGGCTCGAGGGACCGGGAAGTCCAGGAACAAGGGGCTCGCAGAGGGCACCGGGTCAGGTCATCTTCTGCCAGCTGCCTCTCTGGGGTCCTGCTCATCCTCGGGCAGCCTGGCTTTGCTGCGCCCACCAGCCCGGTAGCTCCCAGCTTCCCTCCACTTACCAGGGCCTCTTGAAGACTAGCTGGTTTGGTGCTGCCCGTGCCCAGTCAAGGGTCTGAAGGCCTACGCCTGCCTGACTCAACCATGGGCTTGTTGCAACCCAAGCTGGGGAGTGGGGGGTGGTGGTGGCAATACATGGCCCAGGTCCCCACAGCCCTGTGGATGCTGCTGGGGGTGAGGGTCCCCAACACCCACTCCCTGTTCCTCTCCCTGTATCACGTCAGCACATCGGAGGTGCTTGGTATCTGCACCAATGATTAATAGCTTGTTGCTAACTCTCAACAGTCCCTTCATCCATCTGTCCTATCCCTGCCTGACAGATTCATTTCTTCCTGCCCCCTTGATGCATCCATTCATGAGTTCATTCACCGACATCCACTGACAGGTCCTCAGTGCAGGCTGTGTGCTGGGTGGTGCTGGGGTAGATGCCATCCCTGACCTGAGGAGGTCACAGCAAGCATGGGTGCCGAGTGCTGCCAGGCAGAGGGGGCACCGTTGCCAGCCTGCAGCGGGTGAGGGGAGGGCTTCCGTTTCCTGGTCAAGTCGTGTGTTGCTTAGAACCAGGAGAGGGGAGGGCACATGGAGGGGACAACTTAGGATGGGAGAAGCACCCCCTCACACACCCAGAATATGTCCCTAGCTCCTGGGTTGTGACAGCACCTGTCTCAAAATCCTATCGTAATCACCCATTTACCATCCCCACTCCCAGGTTCAAGGAGAAGCCTGCCTCTTGCCCAGGCCTGGCACATGGGAGATGAAAGGTACCACCAGCAGTAGTCACAAGAACCAATTAGCTGATTTATTTTAATCTCAGAAATGTGTCTATAATCAATTTGGAGGCATCTGCTGCCCCCTGCCTGAGTCCCTGCCTAATTTCAGCTTTACACTGAAGGAACCTGAGGAAGGGCCGGGATCGCCCCTCACCAGCACATTCCAGTGAAATCAGCAGCTTGCCCAGGAGTGTCATTGCGGCCAGGTTGAGAAGACAGAGAAATATAAAATTGGCTCAGATCTCGTTAAAGCTACATGGCTCAGTACTTTGGTTTTTGCCACAGCAGGGCAACCCTGAGCTCAATCCACACCCCGCACAAAGTGTGCCAGGTTCGTGCACACACACTCTCATGATTGAAGTCACAGTTGGCATAGGAAGCCATAGACCCCATGTCCCTTAATTGGCACCACCAAAGCTCCCCAGGAGCTCACAGACCTCTCCAGGGACACCAGAGGGCCCCCCACATGCTTCATGGGGGGCAGTGGATGCAGCAGCTGGGGAGCCCAAGGCAAATCTCCACTAGCTGTGACCCTGGGTAAGTCACTTGCCTCCCTGTAGGTGCTCTCACCCCAAAGATGGGAAAACACATCTAGAATATGATGAGAACAAAAGGAGAGGGTTCATCTCGGGGCAGCCAGGGGGCGTCCCCAAGAGCTGTGTGGAAGACTCTCCTCCCCCAGCCAACCCTGCCTTCTAACTCTTGAACACCAGGAGGTGTAAGTCCCCTGGGAAGATATGGTTTGCCTGGCAAGTGGTAAGAGCACTGCGCACGCAGGTTCTAGCTGCTTGACTGTGCACCCTGGCCCTTCACAAGGATTACAAGATGCTGAATCCTGTGTCGGGTTGATTTGGGTCTCCACGTCCTGTAACACTGCTGGTTACAGGCTTTCTGCTTAAATTACTCTTAAGTTCTGCAAATGGTTCAACAGACCTAACATGCCCTAGCTGCTTCTACCCCTGGGAGTCGGGGGCAGCGGATGGGACTCTGGGGAGGGGGCCCGGCCCAGCTCACTGCAGGAGGTGGACAGCAGCAGCCTTTCGGATGAGCCGCTGGGTCAGGGGTGAGCCGGGCTTCAAGGCGTCACGCTCCATCAGGAGGCTCCTGTGGAAACAGGGACAGAGTCTGTCGTGGAACCTCCTAGAAAGAGGGTGGTCTGCTGGTCCCTGGGCCCCAAGGCAGGACAGGCAACTCGGGCTGGGGCTGAGATGGGCAGAGGGAGGACAGGAGGGACACAGCCCAGCAGCAGGAGACCTGGGCTTGGAGGGGGGACCAGGGAGACAGTGCACTGGGGGGCCAGGGATGGGGCGGTCGAGGATGAGAAGGCAGGGACCCCAGTGCATCACCAGGACGCCCAGTGTTTGGAGAACATGTCAACACTCTCCAAGACACACAGCTGGGTGAGCACATAACTATGGCCTCGTCTGCCTCAGGAAGTTGGGAGTGGGGGGGCATCTTCCCATCAGACAAGAGGGCAGAGCCTTTCTGTGGGGGTGGGGGGTGGAGGGGAAGCCACACCTGGCTAACTCCAAAGGCAAGTGGCAGGAGACAAGGTATGGAGAAACCCAAATTTAAACAAAGCAACTATTGTTTAAGGCAAAGACCCCGAAGAATTGATAACAGTGATTCTGTGGTGTGAGGGTGGGGGTTAAAGGGCTAGGCCACACTTGGTGT